GTAGAGGGGACCGTGAAGGCTCAGCAAGGGGACCCGAGGACTACAACTATCCTACACAACAGAAATACAGAATGTAAGCACTGGAACATAGTCAGAACTCACAGAACAGGTGGAGAGAGAGAGTGAGACAAGAGTAGAGTATATAGAGTGAGCCTAAGAGTACAGGACTACCTGGAGTAGACAAGATCAAGACTACAGGACCAGTCTGATCTTGTACACCTATATATACTAAACTACACAAGAGCACTCAGGAAGCATGAGCCACTAAGAATGATGAGCCATGAAGAATGAAAGAAAGGAATGTCAAAGATAAAGGTACAAAGAATGAAGGGATGGATAAAGGGTAAGAGACTATAGAATGATACAAAGAATGAAGGGGTGGTCAAAGGAATGGAATGATGAAGTAAGGAAGGGTAGTAGCAAGAGTCAGCACACATATAGTTCATAGACAGCACCCCTGAGGGACGGAAGTCCCAAGTTCTGGTACAGAAGGGTGCAGAACCCTTGGAACTGAAGGTATGAGAGTAGAGAACCATAACATATACACCCAGTGTTTAACAAGGTTCTACTGTCTCAATACTATGATCCAGGTTTTCCTTTACAACAAAGACCCTTACTGCCTCTACTAGAACTCATCAGTTCTGAACCAGAATACAAAGTAGAATATGTAGCAGATGCTAAGCTAGTGTGTAGAAAGCTCAAGTTCCTTATTCACTGGAAGGGATACCTAGTTGAAGAATGTACTTGGGAACCTGCTGAGAATCTCACCCATACTACTAAGGCAATCCAAGACTTCTATCAACTTCATCTGGGTGCTCTGTGTCAACTCTGCCTCACAGATTTCCAAACCCTACTGTTCTGACCTATGCCTGAGCTGCTGACCAAGCCCAATACTTACTAATCAGGACAATTGGTTTTAGAGAGGGGGTAATGTTATGGTTCTCTGCTCTTGTACCTTCAGTTCTGAGGGTTCTGCACCCTTCTGTACCAGAACTCAGGACTTCCATCCCTCAGGAGTGCTGTCTATGAACTATATGCATGCTGACTCTTACTACTACCCTTCCTTACTTCATCATTCCATTCCTTTGACCACCCTTTCATTCTTTGTATCATTCTATAGTCTCTTACCCTTTATCCATCCCTTCATTCTTTGTACCTTTATCTTTAACATTCCTTTCTTTCATTCTTTGTGGCTCATCATTCTTAGTGGCTCATGCTCCCTGAGTGCTCTTGTGTAGTTTAGTATATATAGGCATACAAGATCAGACTGGTCCTGTAGTCTTGATCTTGTCTACTCTAGGTAGTCCTGTACTCTTAGGCTCACTCTATATACTCTACTCTTGTCTCACTCTCTTTCTCTGCCTGTTCTGCAAGTTCTGACTACATTCTAGTGCTTGTGTTCTGTATTTCTGTTGTGTAGGATAGTTGTAGCCTGGGTCCCCTTGCTGAGCCTTCAGGTCCCCTCTATACTGTTGCTGACAGTAGGAATGTCTGTGTTAACCTTTACAAACAAAAAAAACTTACAGAGTATTTCTCTCACTGGTTATGACTAAGCAGGCTGGTCTGTCTACATTAGGAAAAAGTCTAATTCTGAGTATAAGCTTTTAAACTACATATTAAAGCATCTTTCTTGTAATTAGTATATAAACTAAAATACAGTTTTTAATTAGTATATAAAAGAAATACAAACTATATTATTAGTATATAAAGCAAATACAACTATTGTAATATATATATAAGATAACTACAAGTTATGTATGATCATATATAATATGTATATGATTTATATTAAACATATAAATCTAATCTACACTGTATTATATATTTCTATTATATATAAAAGTACTTATAATAATTTCAAACATACTCTAATTACTTTGTAACAGTGTAAATAACCTTTATGTTGAATGTAAGTCTATAGTAATATATTTATTGTATTGTATGTATTATGTAAGAGTTATTTTGTATGTATACAAACTTTAGAATATCAGGCGCTTATGTAATCGAATGCTGGAGATCGAGAGCATATAATGATGCATGCATTTCTTCTTGTCACCACCTCCAACCTCCACTGCCTCCTACAACCCTCTACCACCAGTTGAACATCAAGTTGTGCTTGTGTTACTTTTGCGGGGGGGTGGGGGTGCACTGCACTCTGCCTGCAACAACCTAGTCAATAAACATCACTGCACTCGTCTCTCCAATCTGCCGTTGCAATGCCTGCGCTGAGCCTCAGATCCTGCAACCAGACAACCCGGCTGACTACACTAGTACTGTCCTTCAACGTAAAGCGTAAGCAGCCAGTCCACTCCATAATAACCTGCTCAACAGTTGTTCATCCCTCTCCTCCCAACTTTTGGACTCCCTTCCATCCCTTCTGCTACTTGCACCGCCTCTTGTGTTGCCTCTCCTTCGTTGTCCTCTTTTCTTTAATGTTCGCCTTCCTTTTTGCATTCGCATTCGTGCGTCTGCATTGTTGACCAATGCAGAACGACTTCTTCAATAATTCCATGCATTCGCGTACTTCTTCCCGCTCTGCAGCGCAAGCAACAATCGACGGGCACACGCGAGCACGCTCGCGACAATGTCCATGTACAATCACTCCCAAGGCGCAATCCTCTCTCCGACCCCGTGCACACTCTCCTTCCCCACCCACCATTCCATGCTTGACACCACCCTCGATGGGCCCACACTGCGTGCATTTACATTCCCCAGTGCCGTCCATGACACCATTTCGAATAACGGGGGAAGTGGCCACCGCTTACCCCTCCTGAGCCGGGTCCGTCCCCACCATCCACTTCACTCTCTCCCCCTTCGAGCCAGAACGTCCCAGAGGCACACCTTTGCAATCATCCACAACTACTAAGTTCACTACACCTCTGATTGCGAGACGTAAGTCAGAGCATGCAACGTGCACGTACAGACACAGTTTCGTCTGCAACCCAAATCAGCTCGTTCAATGCTCCGGATCTCAACTCTGGTACGCCACTCTTCCTTGCTTCACACTGTTGCGGTGCATCTATCTATTCTCTTCAAGTATTCACATACGCTAACAATACCCTCCCCCCTTGCAAGTCGTCCTCTCAACCTGTCTCACAAGCGCAACCTCAACCTCCGCAATCCGCAGAACCTCACAACCCACACATACGCAATTCAACTTGCAGGGACCGAGCGACCACCAAAGTGTGGTGACGAAGACTACATCAAACGGCCCGAAAATGCGTTCATCCTCTTCCGTCGTGAATGCTGTTTGAAAAAGAACGAGGCAGAGGTTGCAGCAGCTGCAGAAGGTGATCCTGTCGCACGGCGTCAGCGTCAAGCCGACTTATCCAAAACAATCTCCTAACAATGGCGTTCGCTTTTCGCAGAGGAATCTCAATACTGGGACGATCTCGCGAAGCGGTGGAAGAAGGGACGGGGAGGTGTGGTCTTGAATATAAGTAATTCTTTGTTTTTTTTTATGTTCTTTTTCTTCGTGTGTATTAGTTACAAAAACGATATAATAAATTTATATTATAATGAATTGAAATATCAGTAAAGCTGTAAATAGCTTACAATGTCAAATAATATGTTATTTGACCTATAGAAAATGATAAGTAAAATAACATCTTATCATTTGAGGAAAGCAGTATATTCTCTTATACATCTTATAGTATGTATTGATCTTACACTAGTATTATAATAACACATAATTCATATTGCTTTCCATAATATTAATCCACCTTATTTAACCTTATTGTAACATTTACTGTAATATCAGTCAAGGGAAAGCAGTATATGATAATTTACATAATATTGATAATTTACAAATTATATACTCTTATAAGATTAAAAATTGCTGTTTATTTTTTCCCAGTGAAGGAGTATGTATGTAGCACTCACAACAAGTAATGTTTTAATTCTTTGCTTGATAATTTCCAGTTCTCCAACCTCTGGAGTCTACAACTTAGTTATTCCTGTAGCAGCTCATTTCTCTACAGGAAGGATTGACCAGATGCTAAAGAATCTGTAAGACTCTAAAGAACTCTCTCAAGAAACCCAATTGTATACTGTAAATGAAACTCACACATTGTTATGAGATGATTTTTTCTCTATTAGAGATTAGACTTGCTGTCAACCAAATTCGAAACTTTCAATAAATGAAAATCACCTATACTTACTCAACTATAATTCCACCAGATATGACTAATCAGGCTCTACATAAAGAAATGTACATTGATTGATAGAAGGGTGTAGATGGAGTTCACATAGTACTAAGAGCAGGGAAATGCAACATGCAAAACAGGACATCAAATATATAGTAGCATATGTGAAGAACATTCAATTTATTAAAGTGGATTATAACCCTCATAAGTGTGATAAAATGAAATGTCGCTCCTGGAATTCGAAACACTCGTGAGTAATCAACTCATCAATATCACTAAATGTCTCTGAACAATGTAGCCATTTGCACTTGTAAGCTCGGGCGGGGTATCGATTATTCCGAGGGTACAAACGGACGACGTCAAAACAACCATCGAGAATGTTAGAAATAGTGAACGCATTGAGCTGTCCACTACTGTGCCCTTCGATAAGATCTAACGCAAGGCCAATGTGACGAGCGTCCGGACGTGCGGAAGCATCCTCACGCCAACAGGCTTCGAGAAGTGCCCAAAGTACATCTGTGATACAAGAGTTGGAAGGTCTCTCAAACTGGCCATTCCACGCATGAATCTTCATGATTACAGCCGCGTTAATCCATACCTCGGAAAATGGGGGCTTTCCGGTCAGCACCTGCAAAGATCATTATATTTCACACAGAATTACGATTGTGCTGTACTTACTTCTAGGATTGTCATTCCAAAGGACCAGACGTCCGAAACTGTAGTTGTTTGAGTCGGTCTATCCTCAGCAGATACCCTCAATAATTCTGTGGCCATCCACCGACATGATCCATTGACAGTTTGAGTGGTAAATCCCGCCGCCTCGCAAATACGAGAAAGACCAAAGTCAGCGAGCAGTGTCTGATGGCCTTGTGTAATAAGAATATTTTGCTGTAGGAAAGAATCTTCCGCTGAGTGTTCAAGCACAGACGTAAATAATTCCAAAGCGTACTGCTTTGATATCCCCGTGCACGACAGGCGGGTCAGCTGAATGGAGAGTAAAGATTGCAGCGACAGCACCAATCAGCTTTGGGGAATGATGTATATGAGATTCGTACGAGGGAGATCGATAGAACGCATAATTTTCATCCGGTCAGCATGGGGATGACAGTCTACATACATCCTTGTGTCTCCATGCGCACAGAAAGGCAGGACTAGACCTTTGAATCCTGGATACTCAGGATCGGGATTGTCGCAGACGCCGAGGATTTGCAAGACGTTAGGGTGCAACACGCTCTGGCTAGCCGTGACTTCACGTTCCCAATGCTTCAGGAATTTGTGGTCACTGAGATACAGTAAAACCTGTCAATAAGCATACTTGTAGTTTAGCATTTCCTCTCAATAAGCATGAAAACTTTGATCCACCAAGTTGGTAGGCAGTAAAATAGAGGTATATGTTAAGAAAGGGGGAAGAGAGGTTATGTGAGAGGCTTAGATAGATCACACAAAGAGGGGGGATAGTGGACTCGGCTCGCTCTCTCGCGGCTTGCTTCATTGTCCGTTGATTAGTTAGTCTATATATACTATGTAGGTATGTCTCAGATGTAGAATGTATGATGGAAGGTATTCCATCATCGTTCGTCATTGCTTCTAATGTAGTTTATATCATCTGAGACATACTCTCATGTAGTCTCATCTTAACACTCCCCTTCAAACTCTTACTAGGTCTAGTAGACTTGTAAGATGTTTGCTTGTAGTATGTATAGATAGTTTAATCATTATAACTGCATTGTACAATTGTTTGTTTGTGTAACGCATTTATAACTTGATGTAGTTAATAATAATATTATTAGCATTGTAGTAATGCATTGTTCGTTCTGTGTACTGTCTGTTCCGAATGTCATCCACTTTGTGTTAAGTTTGTCCAATGTTATATTAATTAATTATATTTAATTAGTTTGTTTGTTCGTAATATACTGTTCAATAACAGTATTGTTATTGTAATAGATTGTTTGTAAATGTTATTAAATAATTTATAAATGCTTCAGAGACCTACAGAATCTTGTTAGCATGTGTAGGTATGTATATGTGCATATTTAAATCATAAATGCAATTGCTCGTTTTGTTTTATTGTTTGTCATTCAGTCATATTGTTTGTTATTAAGTTTGTTTGAGTACTCTAGTAATTTCCTTTTACTTTGCTGTGAAACTAATGAATCACACTAGTAAAATGTATATTCAATGTTGCAATAATATCCTTCTTTAATCATTACTGTCTGTGTTTGTCTACATTTGTATATGTGTTAAGTATTCAGCAATAGCTGATTTATGTCTTCAGATTGAAGCATTACATTGATTGTATATTGTAATATCAATAATAATATTTGTTTTTGCCAGATTGCTTCATTCTAAGATCAATAAGGTTTTATGCTAATGTATATTTGTTGTATAGATGTTATGTCTGGCTGCAGGCATCTTACTATGTGTCTAGGTGCATTGTGTATGTATTATATCATGAATGTATTGTTTGTTCGTTTGCTTTACATTATTGTTTATATCTGTGTATTAATTTATTAACATTATGTTTGTTAATTGATTGTTTCTGATACATCCTGAGTAACTATGCAATCTGTTGTGTTGTTTCTTTAATAGCCAACATAGTTATCTGTTGTAAATCATTACTAACGTGCACTCGTATTATTTATCATTAACAATGTTATTGTGAATTGTTGCAATTGTAGTATTGTGTATATATATGTGTGTATGTTATGGCTATTGTTCTTTGCTTTTTCTTTTGTAAAGAATGATGTATTGTAACACAATCTGTATATAAGTAATATATCAGATTATGTTTACTATAATTGTCTCCTAGCGTTCTTTAGTTAATCTAGTGCTATGCACAATTGTAGTATTTGTTCAACGTTTTATTTGTTAATTGGTTTGCTAGGTAAAACGTTTTATATATTGATTTTATTTATTTTATTTGAATCATCATATAGATATACCTATTAGTATCTATCCAATGTATTTCATAGTATTATAATACTGTTCACACTTGTATTAATTGTGTAGTGAGGGCAAATTAATTGTTTGTACAAGAATTGATTTAATAGTTTTATTTAATTATATGTATGCACTCCATACTTGTTTATATAGTTATTATCTGTGTATTGTTTGGTTGTAGTTGCAAATTATATTGCAATTATATTTGTATTATCATATAGATATATTATTTATTGTTTTATGTATGTTCCAAAGTATTATTTTCGTTATTCATCACTTTTATCCATGAACTATAGTTTGGATTAGTGAATTATTTTGTTATATGATGTGATAATCGTCTGTATATTATTTATTTTCGTATTAAACACTGTTAAGTTAATTATATTATCATATTAATATTATTTGCCAAGTATGAGCATTTGTTTTGTAGTAGAATTATTATTTATTTAACGTTGAAGTTCAATCACACATTGTGTTGACTTCTGTTATTTAGTTCTGATCAACATAGTTTTGCTTCATACTGAATGATTTACCTTTATGATCTGTTATGTCTGTCTGTAACTTCTATTGCTTAGTCAGTGCTTAGTCTGTACATTTCATTATTCTATTTTTCGTAGCATCTGTAGTGTTATACTTTCCATTCCATTGTTTATATTTAGTTATTAATTTTTTGTGCATATTATCCATTTTCTCCCCTTCAATTCAAGAAGGTATTTCTTCAAAGAATTGGATATTTCTTTAATGTTTATTAATTGTTGTTACAATATAATATTTATATATAATAATTGTAATTGCTTTTGTGGTTCGATTTCTAATTATTAGTATTTTAAAGCAGTGTGTAACATTTGTTATGTTCTATAATGAGTAATTTAAATGTTATTACTATTATATCTTTGTTACTGTTAATGTTTGTCAACTTATATAATGTGTATTTTGTTCGTTATAGTAAGTACACATTATGTATAATATACAAGTTTTGTTCATGCTCGTTATCTTTTATTAATAATCGTTTGTAACTATGAATGAATATTTTGTTTTTGTGTTGAAAACATATGGTAATTTGTTTGTTTCTGTATAATATTTGTTTAATAATGTTATAATTATTATTTATGTAGCACTTTTAGTAAATACACTGAGTTCTATTAAGTATGCTTGCATCTGTTATTGCCTATTTTATATTATACTGTCCAAGATAATAGCTTAAACATTTTATTAATTTATTTAATCATATTATATTATGATTGTTTTTGTTTGTAATTATTATAATAATGCATTCATAATAATTATATTTGTATTATTCATTGTAATAGCCTTATCAGCTTAATACTTTGCTCCTACAAGCTATGTTGTCACAATGTAAATTTAATAATTGTTTGTTAAGGTATATACACTGTACAGTTGATGTTGCTGTCCTGACCTGCGCCACACTATGACTAGTGATGCAGTGGAATGCGTCCAGGCTAGAGCAAAGGTGTTGCAAGTATGTAAAACAGATCTTATTTTCGCTTCAGTATACAGTGAAACCTGTCATTAAGTATGACCTACTGTGGACAGGTGAGGCTATGCTTAATAAGAGGTTATGCTTGTTGACAGTAGCTTAAGTAAAGTAATAAAATTTCCTTATTTGTAGTACATAACTCAATAATACATTGTCTACTTAAAAAACAACTGAATATCAGTCTGTTCAAGAGAACTATTTATTTTCTTGTATAGGTTTCTTGTAAGCTTTGGAAAAAGTGCTCTAGCCTCAGTAAACTCAGCACTAATCTCACTCTGAAAGAGTGTATTAAGCTTTGAAAGTAATTGGACAGTCTCCACATAGCTTTTAATGCTTCAACTTTGGTGCTTTACTATGGGTAGGATCCTTTAGTAGAGATGTATCATTGACTGTACTTGTTTGTGGATGAATACTAGTGGAAGTATGAATATCTGGAAGCAGAGCTAAGAGATTGACAGGGGAAGCTTCTCTAGAATAAGTGAAAACAATTTTACTAGCATCCTTGAGTGTTCCATCTAGGTTCTGTACACATCCAAGCTCCTCAGACATGATGAACAATAAGTTTTAATAGTGATTTTCATTACATTACACATTTATTTTACAAAATGGAGGTGGCTTGTACAAAAAGTGGCTCTCTCCAGGTCATGATCTGTACTGTCACATGACCCAAAATTTCCTTTAATTAAGCATATTCTCAATCTTACACCTTAATGCTTAATGCTTAATACCCTTTATGCTTAATATACTGTTAAGATGAGACTACATGAGAGTATGTCTCAGATAATATAAACTACATTAGAAGCAATGACAAACAATGATGGAATACCTTCCATCATACATTCTACATCTGAGACATACCTACATAGTATATATAGACTAACTAATTAACAGACAATGAAGCAAGCTGTGAGAGAGCAAGCTGAGTCCACTATCCCCCCTCTTTGTGTGATCTATCTAAGCCTCTCACATAACCTCTCTTCCCCCTTTCTTAACAGGTTATGAGCCTTGAGCTCCCTACTTATGCTTTATCTACACTCTACTACATCTATGCTCTATACAGTTCTACACATCACATGCACACACACAGTATAATATGATGCAGAACTCAACTCACCTGTCTGAGTATCCCAAACACAAATCAATACACTGTAAACACACAATCTACCATACTACATACAACCCAGACATTATATGATTGTCATCTTAGTGATTATGATCATTGGCCCAGTAGTAACATAATTTATGCAGGCAATGTTGAAACTACAATGAGTATCACTTACTACAATTATTAAATGCTAAAATACTCTATAATATCATGGAGATCATGTTATAATAAATTAACTGATCATACTACAGACAAATGTTAAAAAGATTAATAAAACAAACACTACTCTTCTGCTATTAACATTACAATAGTACAAATGATTGACACTGTCAACAAGCACACATATGTTATAGCATAAATCAAATAATAACACATATAGTAATATTACAGCTGAACAATTAATGCTCAAAACAAGTGCATATATGCTAAACAACATATTAAATCAAAGAAATAAAACATTTAACATGTATTATAAACAATAATACAATTGCAGACACTATAATAACAATAATAATAACAATAATAATGATAATAATACGGATAGAACTAACAGAACAAATATGGAACAATATAATAACTAACACATATCATGGTTGAGCAATTATATGTAACATATCAGATTCAGTGGTTACATGTCAGATATTGTGATTACTTATCAGATACTGAATATAATACACATATCTAAGATATACAGACAAGTACAGATATACAAAAGTATAATGAATAACTACAAACCAAAAAACAACACTATAGAGTGTATAAACTAACTATGCACAAAAGAATAATGTTATAACATGTAAATACTGATTACAGCACAAGACAAGTGCAAAAATTATAACTATTAAACAAATGATACTACTTTACACATTAATACAATTGTGTAAATGTATACTAACAATGAACAAAAGAATTATATCTCTAATATACTCAAAACAACACATCAATACAACTTAATTATGTAGAACGTGTTATCACAGTAGCTGATTATATAATAAATTTCGAAGTTGCAAAACTTTACAGCAACCTAGATGCATCTTATAAGGAGTTGGGTAAGCAAAAGAATGCAATGAACATACATTCCAGCTTTGCTGGTTATTGTCTGACACAAGGAGTGCTTTGTGTACTGTGCCAAAGCCCCCATGTGCAAAACTGATGCCTTCTAGCTTTCTGATATTCTCTGTCAGGTTTTGCATAGGGATAGTTGAGGAGGAGGATAGAAATGATGCTCACAATGGGTGCACTGGATGCCAGAATAAATAGCTAAAGTGTGCGCAGATAACTTGACGAGAATACTTTCAGGGTGCAACTTGGGCGTACGCCGTTATCTGTCATGTATTGCATTCGGAAGCGAAATGTTAATGAGGATGGAAAAAGGAGGGGAACTTCTAGCGTGGGAGTGAAACGCTATCTTTAGTCATGTGGGAGTGAGCTGCCATCCTAGGTCGTATGTACGGTTGGCTAATAGGATCAAACTTCAGAGCACAGCAGCAGGCATCCAGATCCGTTTCCAGATAACAGAACGTCCCCCAGCACCGGCGCAGTTTTCTCATCTTCATTTCCCTTTGCTCAATGGTCTAACAATGGGGTGTATCACCATCTTTGTCCAGAATCTCCCCTAGTTTCTCCACTTATCCCTGTTCTTCTTGGTGCAATAACGGCCTCTTTCTTTATGTTACGCAGCATGAACCAAACAAAAAGCATGTATAGTTAGAACTCAATATCACGTAACATAGCCTCAAGACTCTCCCTTGCAAGCCTCGAAAGTCGAAGCTTTACCGGTAGAAATCGAGTATGCATAAGTTCTCCCTGCAACACACTCAGCACTCCAGCATGTGAGTATGCAGTGCGCTTGATGGAGAGAATGCTGTGAAATGCGTGCGTCCCGAGCCTAGATGGATAAAGGGATTCATTTGACACGATGATAAGCTGTAAGATTAAAGGTATCAGAGGGCCTGTGGGCGTACCAGATCACCTCATCCTTGGACACATCGCATCGCCCGCCGGAGTCTCTTGAGAGCCGACTCGATGCCTTATTCCGGATTGACGCATATGCGTAATCGATACATTGATGGATTACATCTGTAACAGGTTTATCCTCATTAATCCCGACTAATATGCACTTTCATGATGCCAAAGGAAAGACGCACGAAGCAAGAATCCACCGGCTCTTCTGTCTTCCTTACGTTCTTTCAGACTTCTCTTCTTTCCCTTAGCCGGGCTTGATTCCAACTCGATTTTATTCGACAATTCGTTAGGAATATGGCTTGAGGAACCTGCCCGAGGCACGAACGCAAGCATACCCGCATCATTACGGACAACACGTAGGTACGCGTGCATCTTCATGGCAGCAAGCACAAACGCCTGGTGTATGTTAATGCGTACCGCGCGTGAGGAGTTATGTGTCGTATCATTAAATATCGAATGCGTTTTTGCGGCCGCGTTCCTGCAATGGCCACGATACTGTGTTAGAAAAAGGCCTGCACAAAATTTGGAGGACGAACTGAAGCATCTTTTGTACGAAAGCAGAATTGGGCCGACGGCTTCGTTCGATCGTAAGTGAGTCGGTGAGATCTAATTTAAATTCAATGAGGTATTCATTACCGTAGGATTTCAGGACAAGCTTACGTGTACTGTGAAAACGTGAATAATCCGCCATGACAGACAGGTCCTCCATGTCTATCAGATACCCGCACCAAGGGAATACTAACAACCATGACTGAGATAAATTACTGGAGATAATCATGTAACACGCACGTTTCCTATCTGGATGCATGACGGTGCTCAAACTGTGTTGTGAAATGTCCCCGACGTGGTGCATGAAATTCGTCAATGTCTTTTCTCGTGCAATGAAACAACCATATTCCGGATGACCTGACACGAAATGTTAGCCTACACCGTTTCTGCAGAGTCGCGGTACTAACCTCCATTCATTACCTCTAAAAAGCGTCTTGCCTCCTCTTTGTCCGTAGTTATGAATAGATAATCGTCAATTAGGCGGAGTAATTCGTTTTCTCGTTCTGCATCCATCACAAAGCTGAGTACATTCTGCTCAAGGTCTCCATAGAAGAAGGAACAAAGTAAGGAGGAGAGCACTGAGCCTTGCGGAATGCCGACACGCTGGCGGTAGTAATCATTTCCAATCTACATGCAAATTAGAGGACATGAGAAATTGTTGACAATATAAATGATGAAACGGCTGTAACTTACTTTCACGATATTTGAGGTTATGTGATCCTCTAGGAGTTGTACAATCTCGTCTCGGAAAGCAAATGGATATACAACTTGGTCGACTAGAATTGTATGCCTCAGAAGTGCAGCAAGCTGAGTGGCATACGTGAGGAAATGGGGATGTTCATCTATTCGTGAAGTCATTGGTTATCACAGAGAATTCGAGAGTAATTTGCTGGACACTTACAATCAGGTATTGCGTTCTTGATATATTTCCGATGCACCTTACCCACGGATGGGCTGATACTACCGTATTTCTGGATCATGTAGGTGTCCTGCGGGCAGAATTTTACATTTATAACGAATTACACCAGGAATATAGGACTGACTGACCTCTGTTATGAGCTGCTTTAAGATACGAAGTAACTTGTCCTGCTCGATCGTATCGAAACAAGCCTGGACATCTACTTTCACGAAGTAAAGCTTGGACCTAAACTCTATCAGAGTGGGTTCCAACAACCAGTGAAGAGGCTCACCTTTTGCCCGAAACGGCAGTGATTTTTCTTTTGAATTCCTTCAAGCGTAGATAGACCTCATTGGGGCCGAAGACAGATGCGCCAAGCTTCTCTGACTGCGTAGTCTGATTTTGAAATCAATATTTAAAACGTAATCAATTGCCATACAATTTTGACGACGAACCATTTCGTACCCCAAGATCTGAAAAGCGGCGGATAATATTTGGTTAATGGACTGTCCTTGATTAACTGGGTCATCCGACGCGGCGTTTCTCTTCCTTCTCAGGTTAACAATGGGTCGCACTCCACTGTCCTTTGGCAGAAGTCGTACATAGGAATAACCAAGCTTGCGTCGTCTTAGGAGCTCTTCAGCTTCATGCTATTAGGCCGTCATTACCTTCGATACCGAGTATATTGAATAAGTTGCGTACCTGGTGAATACGCTGGAACGTGGTCGCAGCCAATCGATCGACTAGGGGTTGACATAGAACATCCCAATCATCTTGTCTGAAGTATAGAATGCGATTGCGATACGCAGATGAGTCCGTAATGTAAAAAGTAGTCTGTTCCACAAAGTGGGGAAGGAAAAGGAAAAGGAAATAATATAGCTTAATATCATGAAGTCCACTGTCCCAGAACATTGTAGGTGAACGAACATACCTTTAGTAAAGGTAATAGAAACTGATCAAAGTACCAGAAAATAAATTCCTGGAGTAAATGTCGTTGCATTAACATCTCAGCTTCCGACTGATTGCGTCGTTGTGAGGGCTTTGTAGAAGGCAACAGCCAGTCGCATTCGCTCGTACTGATACCCTGCATAATACTGTGAGCCGTGATGCTCTCATGTCTCCGCCCACTCAACAGTTGCTTCACATCTGAGGACGCGAGTGAGACGAGCACATAGGTTACTCCGAAGGAAGAAAATTCGGATCACGCACGACTGAACACCGTTTTACGATTTTTGTCACTGCCCCAAAAGACGTGAGGAATGACTTCCTTCGTAATAACGCAGACAAATAGATAGACTTCCGCGATATTACACGTGAACTCCGCAAACTTCGGCTTAGGCTGGGCTTGGGGCGGCGTCATCGAACCCAAGGCACTTCGAGTATTGGGACATCGCCCTCTACTTCCAGCGGAAATCGTCGTAGGGTCGCTCATCGTGCAGTCCATCTGGGTTCGTAGCTCTTCGTCTGATATTTCCTCCCAGATCAGCTCCAAGATACCGCTTGTATCTCCCGACACATCCTTATGGGCAGGTCGGAGCTGGAGAAAATTCACGACATTTCAATGAGCGCCGCATCAGCGAGAAATAACCAAAACATGCCTTGGACGGGCAGAACTTGTTCAAAAGAGCTTTATAACCGCACTTCGTATGCCGATGATAGAGCTGCGATAGTAAGGGCAATACACTTTTTAAACGATCCGGTGTTTTGCATGAGCCTTTGATCTGTATGATATTGCTCGGCCTTTAGCTGCAGCGCGTCGGTGGTTTGCAGACTTACCTCGATCTCAGTTTCTCTGTTTGCGAACCTGAACCTAGCAAATTGATCTTCCTGTTGTCGTTCGGGACGGACAGAGAATACGTTATCGAGGCGATATCGCAACGGGAAGACATATTTAGAGAAATGTCGTGCTTCAAGTGCGCCATGCCGGTCTGCGGGTCTCACATCATGCAACCTCCCGTCGGTATCAAGAAGTCCCTTCGCCACTCGCCATGCCCCCGAATTCATACGATTCAGTATGTCTGGTAATTCCTAGTTAGCCAACCACATCAACGATGCTCAAGGATACTCACGATCAGAGGGTAGACCAAGTTGAATATGTTCAGGGGCTGCTCGTCGTTGGGGCCTTGCGTAGAACATCGTCGTACGAGCAATTGGAATTGCGGTCAAGGTACAACCTCTGTAGCATGTTAGTAATTATTTTACTCCCATGAATAAGAAAAAAAGGAGAGATACTCGTTTTTAATGGGACTCATGGCTGACTTGTCACGAGTCGTCGCGCTGGACGATCCCTTATCCCTTCTGCGACGTTTTGGTAATCTCGTTGAAACCCCTTCGTCAATGTTAGTTGCTTTACGCTTTTGCGGACACGTGGATTCGGGTTCTGCACTGTCGTCAGCCCCGCCGGATGCCAACGGCCTTTTTCTTGACAACGTCGGCGGGGGCATAGCATAGATGAGCGGGGGACCCGTCACTTGGCAATAACAATCGTTTGGCAATGCGATATAGATTGAAGTCTCCGTCAGTATATGCAGGAGAATTGCATCCCCTACCCTGCAAATGTGATTCAGTGAATGAGAAACCCCTAGTTACGCGTGGTAGAGCAGACTGCAACCAGATGCATGAAGGCGGGAAGAGAGGCGCAGCAACCGGGGGAACGCAGAACGCTGAGTTACGCGTTACGGCAACTCAGGAAACCAACCACTCCCAACTTGTGCATGAGAAAACAACGAAATAGAGTCGCGAAAAGCCTATTTATGTGCATCTGACCAGTCATTTCCTGTGGAACCCCAAATCAAGCTAGCCACAAGGTGCACAAGAGCCAAAAAAGGAGCTTGCAGGCCCGGGTTGCTTGGATAGTCAAGGTATCTCTCAGAAATTAAGTAACACAGAAGTGGAAACGTTACGCGTTATAGTCGCCGACATACATCTGGTTATGGGAGCGCGGGAACTGACCGTTTGAGGAGCAGACACCAATCAGAGGCCTGTAAGGCGGTAACCAATGTATTGACGAAAAAATTGCTGACACCATGGCGAGATGTGCCAACAGAAGCCGTTCCAATCTCAGGTTTGAGCTCCGCCTATTTGGGGTCAGCGGGAAGCCTGGTGAGTGCGGCGCAAAGAACACGTACAGAACAATAACCTGTCGTAATAATGTTTGATGGTTTCCGAGTCAATGCAAAGAGGCGCTCCTGGGCTCTGTCAATAATCTGGTAGAATCATTAAGATCATGAGAGCTGTTCAAAAGTAAAATTTACGAGAAGTATACCTCTGTCATTGATGATGAAGGAGCAGCGATCTTCAGAGATACCTTGCTGCGCTTGTCGTTCGATTTCGCACCCGTCTCGGCCAAAATAGAATACATCAGAAAATCACGATACGAGTCTGGGTCGGAGTCCCTGAGAAAATAACCGCGGAATATCCGTGCATTGTCTTCTTGTAATTGATGCACCAAAACAGGGTGCGACGCCGTATCTGATACACGAATGAGATAGTCGAGCAGCGAGTAAACACGACCATGGTAAGCCTCAAGGATGATTCGCGACGGTGCTCTCATGTTCCACTCGGTTTACGCTATGAAGCGGCAGTCCGGATGCAGAAACTGAATGGATCCTCATAAAAAGGTCTGAGCGCCAAATGGTTGCGGCTCAAGATGATTCTTTCGCGTCCGAATTCACCGCCCTCTAACTTGCCATAAATGTCCGTGGGAGGTTTGACGTCCCAAAGCGAAGAAAACACGACTTGTCACGGCACGTGACTGTGATGCACGTTCCCTCAAAGCTCACAGTAAATAAATTTGTGAGACTTATCATTGAATCTACTGTTAGAAAGCAATTAAGATGGTTACATTTGATAACAAAAAACATGATACCAAGAGAGAGAAGGAGAGTGAGAGAGAGTCGAAAGAATACAGAGAGATATTTTACAGATTAGAACATGTGTCACTCGTCCTTGACCTCCTCAATCTTCGCAGATGACGATGCGTCTCCCCCTGAAGGAAGTTCCGGGGTGGGTAGAGACTTGGCCTTAGACTCTTCATTTGTCATGTCCACGTCTTCAATCTTCGCAGATGAGGTCGCCTCGCTTCCAGTGGTAGTGGGTGCAGAGTCAGCGTCAAAGATTTCCTTTGCTGAGTTGAGGAATCCTGATATATACGACAGATGGTCAGTACACAGTTTGTAACGGCAGAAGACTTAAAACGTGCCTCTAATCTTCTTGTTGGCTTTGCGTTCGCGCTCTTTGTCCTTGGCACGCAAAGACTCTAACTCGGCCTTAATCGTTGGCGCCTCTGTTCAAGTGATTTCGTTACAAAATCAACGTACGTAATGAATGCTTTCATTCGCAGTTGACTCAAATGAGCTCACCGGTAGGATAATTAGTCAAGAGTTCATTCAGTATTGGCTCCGCTTTCTCAAAGTAACCAAGTTCTCCCAATGCCTTTGCCTTCCGGAACAGGGCTTTGTAATTATCCTTGTTTAGTGCTAGAGCCTAACAAAGTAAGAACGGTGTCTGTTTTAGCTGTCATAGTCTAAAATAGCTCCGTGTATGTCCGGACCTTGTCCGCAGTCTCAATCACTCGGTCGTACTTCTTCAACATTAGTTGGCATAGAGTCATGTTTGAATACACCTTCCCGAGTTCTTCGTCTAACTGGTGATTCGTTAGGATTTACGTGGCACGACTCCCTGCTATTGAAAGTGGCGCACCATGCTCTTTGGCTTAGATTCCCCTTGCCCTCCCATAGGATTTTGCCTACAGCTCATTTAAGTCACATGCAGATACTACGATGAGTGAGATTGAAGCAGTACCGGCTTAAACCTTTCCAGCATAATAAGACCTGATCACCAGACGAAGGCATAAGTAACAATCACAAGGGAATATGATGGATATCAACCTTGTAATATTTGCGCAGGGCTTTAGTGGTTTCAAGTGTATCAGAATATAAACGTGCAGACTAATCCAATAAGCCCGTACCCGCTGTTGCATCTGTCTTAACCAACTTGTCTCCTGCTTCCTTGTGCTCCTTTCCCTCGAAGAAGACCGGCATCTTCTCTGGAGGAATCTCGTCCTTGATAGACAAAATATTTTGCGCAGCTTCGGCCATTTCGAAGGTATTCTTGCTAGAAATGACACGACTAGATGATGGATTGAAGAAGAAAGGCGCAAGACAAGGACAGGATTATGAGACGCCTCAATGCGGTGTGACACATGTAACGCATCACGGGACATGTGACAAGTCACCCTCACTAGCACAGGTTGAGGACAGAAGGGAGAGCAAGACGACAAAATCAACAATGGCCCTCATATCCAATATTCTGGGCTTCTCAGCTCTTGGCCTTGCTGCTCGCTTTGGACAACTTGGGATTCAAAAGCGCAATCCTTTTGAGAGTGAGTTGATTGCATGTCTTGAAATGAATCCTCCAGTTAATCAAATCTTTTCAATTTCGCTGACTATCAGACCTTGGGGGACATGTCATCGCGATGGCTATCTTTGGTTACGGTGGATATTGGGCGTACAAATGGGATTTACGTGCAGCGGAGCTTATTGGCCAGAAGCGGGCAGAAATTGAAGCACGACGACAAGGCGCTACCAACTCGGAATGATGGATTGCAACAGCAATGTTTGCCAGGGTATGTTGCTTTTACCGTCCATACCAGTGTATGACGGTCACCTTAATGAATAACAACGCATTTAGATAATATAAGCATTAAGCAACGCATTCCTTCGTATTTGCTGGCCGCTGGTCTGCCTTATAATTGATGCAGATGTACACCACCTAATGCCAAATTCGGCATGTGCAATTACCTTGACCTTGGTTTCGTGCCCCTCAACTGATCTGCAACAAACGGCAATTATTTAAATTCTAGCACCCTCCTACTTCTCCAAGTACATGTTGACAACAGCACTGAGCACGAAGCAAACATGGTATGCTACGAGAAGGAATGATTATGAAGGAACTGCAAAGTAATCGGGATTGAGTGAATGGCAACGGGATGATGAAACGAAACGAAATGCTGATCAGCAATTGTGTGAAAAAAGTTGGAACGAAACAAAAGAGTAAAGGAAGGATCTGGTCCGTATAATCAACGGCAGGTGTACATGGGGCGACATTTTTGTCAGGTAGGGAACGATCGAGATGAGAGGAAAAGTAAAAGAGAGTAAACAAACGGTATGTTGTGTTCCGAATACATGAAATTCAAACTTCTGTTTCCGCATTGTGCATGCAGCATAAAAGCACAACACCAACGTGTGGAAAAAATGAGAGTGGGAGGATATTTTGGAATGATATGAACAGTAATTTGGTGAGATATTGATGTATCCAGCCAACGTCAGAGTGCCATTAAGGGGGGCACTATCGCGAAGCTGGGACGAGATCCGAACATGGTACAGGAAGGAGACTCCTTCCAACGAGATGTATATGTACAGGCTTGTAAGTGGTCGAATCCAGTCGCCAAACAAGCTGAAAGAGGCACGAGATGAGTCCGGTCGCGTGAAAATGGCGATGGATCTGTGACGATAGTGGTATGTTTACAGAGGATGACGATGGAACGGAAGGTAAGGAAGGGTGAGTGAGCGATTTGATAAGTGAGTGACGGAATGCTCTGCGAGCTAATGTGAGATGGAGTATGATACGATAAGCTTGAAGCAAATCGCATCATTAGAGCCTTATGCTTAAGGCATGCAATGGACAATACGCACTGCCGATGATGTGTGGCAAAGCAGTAGATAAGAGGTTCAGCGGAGCTGAATTGCACTTCCAAGCACAGAATCGGTTTGGGCCGACTCGGCTCCTTCAGCAGGTGCAGACAAGTGTCCAAACGAGATGCGCCTCTTCACACGAAGAGGGAAGTTCGTCGTCTTAACTCGGCGAAGTCGTCTATGCGGGGTCACCGGTGGAAGATCTATATTCTCGTCTGTAAGCATGACCGAATCCTCTGGAGTCGGTACCTGAATATGCGCCGCGGGAGGTGCAGGTTCTGGCTGAGGATTTGGGAGCTCCGCACCAAACATTGATGACGTGCGTTGGATCTTCTTAGCAGATGATTTGCGGCTACGTGCGTCTTTCTTTGGCGTGGGTGTCCCATTAGCCTTGATAGTGGCAGCGGAGGCGGTCTTCGGTAGACCTTTTGACTTCTTCGCTTGTTGTGTGTGATCTGCTGACAACGTGCCAGTTGTCTTCTGTTTTTTAATCTTGTGGTCCCTCGCTTTTTCCTCGTCGTCACTAGACGGGTAGATGTCGAGTGCGGCGTTGATTGCTGCAAACTCTGGCGAGTTCTCCTTGTCGTCATCAATACTCATGCGGCTTGACACACTTCCATAGGAAGGAGCGCGCTTAAGAGAGTGACCTAGACCATTGAAATTCGGAGAGCTGAACGACTCGGAACGTTTCACTTTGGGGACGCGTGGTACAGCTGTTTTATCAGCCATTATACAATCGGTAGCCACACCGGAGGGAATAGTAGGTAGACCCGTTAAGACCGTCGTAGAACGACGCAACTTTGACCCACGGCTACCCGATAAGGACGATGGTGGATAGAGCTGGGGACTATCGTCCGACCTGGGAGTCCTTGGAGTACCTGGTGACTCGCCCACACTGAGCGGACGACGTCGCGAGGGGGGAGGTGTTTGCGATGAATTCCGATCGTACGCACGGGCGGGATTTGGAATCATTCGATCGACTTTTTGAAGACGAGATGAAAGTCTGAAAAATCGTATAAACAAAATCGATCACGACGAAAGTGGGTAAGAGTAAACTCACAAGTCAATGTTTTTCTCGTTTTTAAGCGATTTGCCTTTGAGAAAGTCCATGCTCGACTGTCGATAAAGCGGCTTCTTCGGAACGTTCGTTGTAGGCTGGAGAACGTCGACTATATAATCAGCCGGGTCTTCTTCTATCACAGCATCTTCTGCAACGCGACTACGAGCAAGCTTTATAAGTTTGATACGCGTTGAACGGACAGAATGCGGCCATTCAACAGGGCCCTTGGCATGCACAATACTGCGAGAGACTCTGTCTAGTATGTTTGCAGGAGGGATAGAGCCGTTAAATGGCGTGAGCAAATGAGACGGCAACGCGTCTAGAGTCTATAGACAGAGGGACATTACGCGTTATTCATGTCAGTCAACAGACAAACGCTCCCGTATATTCAAGCACAACTGAACGTACCTTCTTAAGTAGTGCTAGCTGTTCAAACGTCCACTCCCATTCCATGTCGTCATCTCCACCATCATGAACCGAACTGTTCCAGCTGTCTGTGCTTCGTCTAGGGACGGCTGAGTCGAGTTTGAGGAGAGTCGGAGAAGGAAGGCCTAAACTGGACCTCGGAGTGCGTGGTGAGGGGACGCTATCATTTGACAAGCGAATTGAAGACGCTCGTTTGGGCAGTGGGGGACGTGGAAGCACGATAGACAGAGAAGACAGATGTGTGCTACTAGCGTCTCGAGTTGAGTGCATTTTTGGCGTGTCAGAACGAGACAGTGTCCGAGAAAATAGAAACCGAGAAAAAGAACGAGTGAAGCTGGTGGCTGGGATGCCAACGCGCCTGGCCACAGACGCGTTTGGCTGGTGACCTTGGGGAAGAAATGGGGGGATGTGATGGGGACGAAGGAAGGGAGGGCACGACTTCGCGACCTGCAATGAGGCTGATCTTAGGCCACGAGTACGATCACGTGTGCCTAATAAACAATCAGAGTTTGGCTGCGCTCATCTGTGGGTCCATGCACTGAAGGAGTTCACTCATTGTCTCATCATGATGCCGTTCTGCAGTCATACATAGAAGAACTTGGATCGCCCTGGTCGCTTGTCTGTTCTTCAGAAGCCTATCTCTGTGCATTTGCGATGTCCAATCGTCGTTTCTTCCTCGACCGGACCAGAAACACTTCTGATGATTTGCACAACGCTTCCCTGTGCGCGGCGACGCTCGTTGATCATTGTCGTGCTCCTTTCAGCTAGGTGTGGCTTCGAAAGCTATGTGATGCTGATGTCTCATCTTTACCATCATCTTCGTATCTCCTCACTTGCTCCATCCCGCATCGTCACGCTCATGTGCAACGCAGATGCACGCCAGCAAGATCCGTGATCGTGTTGTTTGTTGTCGCTGTCACTTCAGCTGTCCTATAGTGCTGGCTTGCTTAACGCTATTATGGGTCTCTTACTATTTATTGCTGAGTTTCTTTTTGTAACAAAAAGGACCCATCAAGTTTGTCAATACATGCTGTTCACAACCATGGCTGAAGATCGTACTGTGGCGATTGAACGTGATGCAGTCGCATTTTCACGCACTAAGTGACCTGATCTATGACTCTTGATATCACTATAACTGGAGTATTCCTCCTCCTGGACGATGGTGAGTTGATGATGAGGGGAGCGTAAACTAAGCCTTACTGGTCTATTGGTCCTATGTAGCCACTGTGCGATGACTTCAGTTACATGTACCTTCCGGGAAATTATATGAACGGTATTTGCGCTGCCGAAGTTAGGTGACGTTCCGCCTCGTAGCAGGCTTGTCCTTATATTTGTAGGGACTGCAAGCAGAATTAAAATATAGTCTACCCTACAACGTCAACTGCCTGGTGCTCTTATCGGCAACATGTTAGGAAATATCCGCCCCTTGCTAACTTTGTCGTACCAACAGAAAGCAGAATTATCAGGCAAGGTCTTACAATCTTTTGCACACATACATTGCACGGAGGGAAGAACTTTACGCTTCGCTCTGAGCACTTATATCTGGCTTTAAACATACAGAGACACTCCGATTAATTCAAGTAGTGCTTTTCCCGTTTTGGACCTCAATGAATAAATACCTAGAACAAATTAGTGATTTAGTATAGATTATTAGCTATTATTTTGTATTACGTGGTTTGAAACATTATCTTGCGGGCTGTGATGCAGTTGACAAGGCGTGGGAAGCATCTGTCAGTTGCTCTATCTGATTAACTATAACATAGATATTCAGACAATGTACCAGTGTACTAGTGACCCCAATCAGTTGCTTGTGGAGTCATATCGGTCCGACCCTACCCATTTCGTAGAAAGCACGGGGCAAATGGCATGAATGATAACGTACATTTCTATTTAGTTCATTAAATCATAAAGGCGCAGATGGCATCAGGTTGAACTCCCCAAACCTCGCATACTAAACTCATCCAGAGACCTTGTTCATCATGACGTCCACAACCAACCGCATTACTCTCTACGACGCAGAATTCACTTTAGAAGAGAAGACGATGTCTCCGTATGCTGTCAGAATAAGGTGACGCGTCTTCTAGAGTGCCGACACACGATACTTGACGTTCATATTATATTTGTCCTGCGTGCTAGGTTGTTACTTCACTACAAAAATATTCCATACGATGTCGTCTGGCTCCGTTTCCGTGACGTCGACGCTACTGCAAAGGCTGTTGGGGCAGCACCTACCAGAGTCATGGCAGACGGCAGTCCTGGGTACACAATCCCTTTTATCACCACCAAGAGTGTCGACGATCAGACCATTGCGATTTCTGATTCCGCAAGAATTGCACAGTACATCGAAGAAAATTTCCCGGATTCCGAGAATAAACTCCTTCCGGCAGAGACTCGCTTCTTCCAATCCATCTTCTCCAAATATCTGATTGAGAAGGTATCAACTGCAATATACGGAGTAGCCTTGGCATCGATTCTGGACCTGTTTCCTTCTGAAAGCGATCGCGAATGGTATCTTCAGACCCGGCGAAATGTATATGGAAGGGGCATCGAGGAGTTGGTTCCACAGGACGAAGCAAGTATCCAAGCTGCATGGAGAAGATTCGACACTACATTTGACGATCTTGCCGCGCACCTAGACAAGGCTGGAGAGGGGAATTATCGTATCACAGGGGGAGTCAGTTACTCAGAGTTCGAGTTGGTGTCGTGGCTAAACATGGCGAGACGGGCCAGTTATGATGGAGTATGGAAGAGGCTCGCGAGTCGTAATGGAGGAAGATGGGAGAAGCTCATGAATCTTCCGGTGTACAAGGAGATACTTCCTGCGAACCGTAATGTTTCCCCGCCGTAAATTGATCTGATCAGTAGAAATAAATATTGTAATCGATATTATACAATGGTTGAACACTGACTTACAAACATATCCCGCTTTCTAATCACTTGCCAATGAGAGGTGCCCTTCTGATTATATGAGATTTTCGCGACGTACGAAAGAAACTCAAAGGCAAAATACAGCGGAATCGCCATTTTATTCAAACTCAGATGCCTATTCTGGCATTTGTAGACCACAACAGCTGTAAACCGGTAGCACCAGACCAGAACTGACTCATCTTAATGAAGCATACAGAGCAGATTATTGTCTACCTTCGCTGCACCAGTATTACAAAAGAACGCCCATCTTTCTCAGCAAGCGCTCGCTAACACAAGACGTTACAAATCAAAAATAAGCTACGTTACGCAAGGAGCTTATTCATCGATTTTCACTCCCCTTGGGCTCTCAATTGCTTTGGCTCATGCAGCACCTTATTTCATTCTTGGAGGATGTTGTCTATTGAGAAAAAGAGTTTTGGAAGTTATTATCAAGGTAGATCTTCTTCTTGGGTGATTTCATTTTGTCCTTAACGTTCACTTATGCACTACCAGATGTTCTCACTTTGCCCTAGACATCGTGCTCGGAGTGACGGAGTCAACAGTTTCGCGTAACAGACGTTGATTCATAAGCGGTATATGACAAAGGGGAAAAAAGGAATTACTAAGGATACAACCTTCTATTCAGAATAGATCTATTTGGATTATTTCAGCCGATGATCCTTTTTATAACGTTGAGTAGGATATCGAATTGAATGCCCCAGCTTTCACGGCCTAAAAATCTGCTCGACTTTTTTCTGCAATATGTCCCCAACGTACCGTATCACACTATACGATGTCGAGACTAATCTAGAAGGGAAGTCATTATCCCCATATTCCGTCACAATTAGGTAATGCGTTTCCCTGAACGCCGACATACCAGACATACTTATAGTATTGGTCCTGCTTCTAGGCTGTTACTAAACTACAAAAAAATCCCTTATGAAAACGTCTGGTTGGGTTTCCGCGACATCGAAGCGACCGCAAAAGCCGTCGGAGCATCTCCTACGAAGGTTAATGCCGATGGCAATCCTGGATACACGATCCCCTTCATCACTGTCACGAATAATGACAAGCAGACCACCGCGATTTCCGATTCCATTAAGATCGCTCAGTATATCGAAGAAGCATTTCCGGATCCCGAACATAAACTTTTCCCCGCAGAGACGCGTGTCTTCCAATCCGTTTTTTCCACATACTTGACCGATAAAACTCGGGGCGCTTACAGTGTGGTCTTCCTACGTCTTGTAAACCTACTACTCGACAATGATCGCGAATGGTTCATTGAATCTCGCCGTCGCATTGGCGGCAGAAGTGTCGAGGAGATGGTTCCACAGGACGAGGCAAGTATGCAGATCGCATGGAAGAATTTTGATGCTGTGTTCGATGAACTTGCCGCGCACCTCGACAAGGCCGGAGAAGGAAACTATCGCATTACTGGAGGCGTGAGCTACTCGGAATTCGAGCTGGTATCGTTCTTGAACCTTATATATCGTCTTAGCTTCGACGAGGCATGGAAGAGGCTTAAGGGTCGTAATGGGGGGAGGTGGGAGAAGCTCCTTAATCTTCCAGTATATAAGGATATCCTTCCCGTGAACCGTGTTGGTTCCAAGCATTAACTGGACATAGCCTGTAGTACGTCCAGGACTTGAAGTTTTAATAGAAATTGATTTGGTATTATGTATTTGCTGAGATATGACGATTGTACAATCGACGCGAAAATTTCATGGGCCTGTGCAGCTTCGAGTATGCAAACAGGATACGTGGCGCAATTTTGAGGTTTGAACAAGAGAGACGGGTTGAGTTTCTGAGCCAAAGGCAAAGCGTGGTAGAATATCTCATTACGTTATTACGTACTTGTTTTGTCCCGTGCCAATCATCGATAAACAGTGGCAAACAGCTTGTCCTCTTTGCAACTGAACTCGCTTGTTGCGTATGGTCTTGTTTGGTGAACATGGTCTCATTTGTTGCACGGGAAAGTTAGTACGCTTACTCCAAGATACGGTGATACTGCTTATACAGGGCTTGAGCAGGCGACGAACACGATCTGGGCATACCTAGACTCTTCGACCGCAAAAGTAGAATGTTCGGCTTGGATGCACCCACATCACCAAAACGTGCAGAATCTGACAAGGCAATATATTTACATGTAGACTTTATAAGCAAATACATATAAGGATCCACAATATGTAAAAAATATATGTCTTAGCAGTAAATTCCAATACATTTTCGTGTTCGATTTGGTGATGCACTGGCTTTCAACTTGTCCTCGGGCTTCTGAAGCTAATCACGAGCGCCTATGTCCTGTCTTTACTCATTTTACTAATATTGATTGTTCTGCTGAGCCCGACAATCCTAGTAATTCCGCCTCATGCCGCTCAGTCTTGTCTATACAGTTGCTTTTCTGAACAGGGACCACATTGTACACAATGACACCAACTTCTTCACATCCAGACGCCACGTCACCTTTTAGAAGATGCGCTCGTGTTGGTAAGAGGATAACTAACAAAGGTGAACGTTATGCAGATTAGTCAGGCTCGTGGTCGAGGATCTCGACGATGCCGTCTCAAAAATAGGAACCAAATGGGATAAAAAGTCGAAGACACACACTGAATGCTAAACAACAGCCCACACCATTGTCAAAGCGAACTGTCGGAACTATGGGGTCGAAGTCGACTATTATCATGCTTTATGACGCTGAATTCAACTTACCAGAGAAGACGCTGTCACCGTTTGCTGTAAGACTCAGGTTGGTAATTCTTGACTTGAAATCAAATATGACGAGCATTTATTAACCTTTAAGCAGAATTCTTCTGGATTACAAGTGCATCCCGTACCAGAACGTTTGGATCCACTTCCCTGACATCGAAGCAACTGCGAAGTCTGTCGGCGCTCCTCCGACAAGAATCAACGCAGACGGCAGACCAGGCTACACTATCCCTTTCGTAACCATCGCATCCCACGACAAACCCACCATCGCACTTTCTGATTCCGCCAAAATTGTGAAGTACATTGAGGAAGCATACCCAGATCCAGAGGGGAAGATGCTACCGGCCGGGATGCGCGTGTTACATTCGATCTTCTCTCAATATCTGGCGCAGAACATAGCAGGGCCGATGTTCAAATTTGTTCTGCCAGGACTTTTGCGTGCACTAGCTCCGCATCCCCGTGATTGGTTGATTCAAACGCGCAAGAGCACCCTCGGAGTCACGATTGATGAAATGATCCCGAAGGATGAGAAAAGTATTGCGGAGGCGTGGCGAGCCGTTGATGCTGCATTCGACGATCTTGCTGCGCATCTTGATAAGGCCGGAGAAGGAAACTTCAGAATCACGGGAGACGTTAGTTATGTGGAATTTGAACTGGTTTCGATTCTCAACCTCCTCAGACGTACCAACCCCGATGAGGGATGGAAGAGGCTCGAAATTCTCAATGGCGATAGATGGGCGAAACTTATGGATCTGCCTATTTACAAGAGGCTCTTGCCGGCTAATCGATTGAATGCTATGCTGTAGACCAGTAGACCGTAGTACTTCTTGGTTCGTACTGGATGTACAGGACTGTGAATTGAATTCTGTTATAACTACACGGTCAGATTAATACAGTCTGAAGAGCATGTAAAGCAAATTTTCCATGGCATAAACACAAATAGGTCGGCACTTTCTTGGTTCTTGAACCTTGATACTGTTTCACTGCATTAGATCACGTTCGGTCTGTGTTCCATTCCTCTGCTCGCAAAATAGGTCTCAGGGCCCTGGTCAATGTACATTAGTGTTTCATTTTTTATACGCCTTCAATGCATTGCAACTCACCTTCCTGTTCTTGAGCCGTGTGTTCTTCATCCTCCGGACATACCATTCGCCCTGTGTTACGCCTGGATTGTATTTCGCTCTCTCCTCTGAGGTCATGTTCGAAAGCGTTTCTTTTATCAATTCACTCTCATCCAAAGCGCGAAGTTCCGCGTTCACACATGGACGAGAGAAGCAAACGACAGACCAGCGCGTATATGCGGCCTGGACACCTGGAGGTGGGACAACACGATGCATATTTGAACGGAGGATTCCACCTGAGAGTAACGAGAGTGCGTCTCCGATGTTACAGATAGCGTGTCCAGGCATTGGACGAACGTAGTGCCAGTCAGGGCTGCCGGGAGGAAGAACTTGCAGCCCGCCGAGTCGATTGTGCAAGAACGAAAGAGATCCGTAGTCCGTGTGAGCTCCTAGGGAGATTTTCTCTTTCTCAATCGGCCCGTTTCCGGTGTGAGTGTACCATCTGGGAGATCAAGCTTCTTGTCGAATACGGAGTAAATTGTTTCGAAGACTGCAAGAGACTTGCGCACAAATGGTGTAATTGTCGACAGCATGTGCGCATTTACAGTTGATGGATACGTGCGGTTTTTAACCTCCGGATAGGCCAAGGCATCGTCTTTGGAAATATTGATGAATTCGACATTGTCTGGGTTGCCGTATTCGTTTGTGGAGATTGTTCCCAAGGCTTTGTAACTGGAAAAGAACGCGATGAGTTATATAGATAATTGGACTATGAAATAGCTTACCCGAAGGAATTGCCTTCGCTGCCTTGCTCAAACTTCATCTTCTCCTCAACCGGAAGGTCCATCGTTTCTGCTCCCATATCAAACATACCCTCAACCTCCTTGTCGGCTCCATGGTTCTTCAAGCTGGAGATAGCTTAGTCTTCCGGGTCAATAAGACAAAAACAAGCTTTACTACTTACTACCAGAATCCCAGCTCTCTTGCAGCCTTCCAGAGCTTCTCGATTTCTTCAGAGTCACCAGCCTGTATGAGTTCATAGTCAATAACCAAGAGAGGGTGTGTGGGTATATCTTCCGGAAATGGTGGGAGAGTAAGTCCAGGCATGTTGACTGTAAAACGACTAGTGATACAGTTGGGTGCTCCCAAGCTTGTCCGTTGAATCCAGCCTTTATACCGTACGAGCGATAAGAGTACCCATGACCCGTCACTAAAGAACCAGCTGAGTTCAAACAAGCCGACTAATTGCAACACTCGTTCATGTGAGTCCCATGATAGATACCGTGTGAGGACTTGGAGACCCAGAATCGCTGATTTGGACGAAGTGAAGCCAGAGACGAGCTGCCGTAGGTCTAGAAAGGTATAACTTTATCCAAGGAACCCCGTATACAAAGCACCAACGATATTTACAAACTTCTCTGAGACAGAGTTATTCAGCGTAGAGAAGTCTGAATGAATGGAACTAAGATTCTGAAGTAACTGCGTCTTCCCCGATCACGCCCGTGCATTAAAAAGAAGCCAGCATGTATTATTAGAGTTTATCCCGAGTATAGCTGGCGATCGTAGACCTGTAGTCGGTTCGTAGAAGTGTTCTTCAGTAGTGTAACGAGTCCGAGACCAAAATAAGCTCCTTGCTTATTCATCGATTTTCACTTCCTCTGAGCTCTCAATTGCTTTGGTTCATGCAGCGCCTTATTTCATTCTCGGTGCGTGTTGTCTATTGAGCAAAATAGTTTTGGCAGTTATTATCAAGCGCGATTTTGAAGCTTGAACAACGGGGAGCGCGTTGGGTTTCTGTAGTAGTAAAAGTCAAAGTTTGGTCGGCAGCTGTCGGCTAGTAGCAGCTTCTTGTTTTGTCCCATGCCGATCATTGACAAATAGTAACAAACACCTTGTGGTCTTCCAACTTCTGTTGTGCAACCAGTGACCAGTCTGAATATAAACTCTTTGCTGAACGTAGACTCGTTACTGCATGGAAAAACCGGTATGCTTACTCACAAATACAAGGGTACTGCTAATGCGGGCGTTGGGCGGGCGACTGACACGTGCTAAGCATACCTAGACTCTTCGTCCGCAAGACTAAATGTTCGGTTTGGACTCGGACGCACCCACTGGCTTTCAACTTGTCCTCGGGCTTCTGAAGCTAATCACGAACGCCTATGTCTCGTCTTTACTCATTTTACTAATATTGATTGTTCTGCTGAGCCCGACGAACCTAAGTCCGCCTCATGCCGCCCTTTCTTGTCAATACAGTTCCTTTTCTGAACTGAGACCACATTGTACACAATGACACACGCTTCTTCACATCTCGACGGCACGTCACCTTAAAAAAGGTGCGCTCGTGTTGGTAATATAATATCTGACAAAAGCGAACATCATGCAGATTAGCAAGACTCGTGGTCGAGGATCTCGAAGATGCCGTCCCAGAAATAGGAACCAAATGGGATAAAAAGTCGAAGACGAACACTGAATTCTGAACAACAGCCCACACCATTTTCGAAGCGAACTGTCTGCACGATGGAGCCAAAGTCAACTATCATCACGCTTTATGACGCCGAATTCGACTTACCCGAGAAGACACTGTCACCGTTTGCCATACGACTCAGGTTGGAATTCTTGACATAAAACTTACTAAGACGGGCATTTACTGACATTTAAGTAGGCTTCTTCTGGATTATAAGCGCATCCCGTACCAGAACGTTTGGATCCACTTCCCTGACATCGAAGCATCCGCGAAGTCTGTCGGCGCTCCTCCGACGAGAATCAATGCGGACGGCAGACCGGGTTACACGATCCCTTTCGTAACCATCGCATCCCGCGATAAACCCATCATCGCACTTTCCGATTCTGCTAAAATTGCGAAATACGTAGAGGAAGCATACCCAGATCCCGAGGGGAAGATGCTACCGGCCGAGATGCGCGTGTTGTATTCGATCTTCTCTCAATATCTGGCGCAGAACATAGCAGGGCCGATGTTCAAATTTGTTCTCCCAGGACTTTTGCGTGCACTAGCTCCGCATTCCCGTGATTGGTTGATCCAGACGCGTAAGAGCACCCTCGGAGTTACGATCGATGAAATGATCCCGAAGGACGAGAAAGCCCTTACGGAGGCATGGCGGGCCTTCGATGCCGCGTTCGACGAACTCGCCGCATATCTCGACAAGGCCGGAGAAGGAAATTTTAGAATCACGGGAGAAGTCAGTTACGTGGAATTTGAACTAGTCTCGACCCTCAACCTGCTCAAACGTACCAATCCCGACGAGGGATGGAAGAGGCTTGAAGCTCGTAATGGGGGTAGATGGGCGAAACTTATGGATCTGCCTATTTACAAGAGGCTCTTGCCGGCTAACCGATTGAATGCTATGTTGTAGACGAGAATGTTTCTTGGGTCTTACTGGATGTACAGAATCGTGAATTGAATTTTGTTACAACTACATACGGTCGGATTAATACAGTCTGAAGAGCATAAGGCAAAATTTCCATGACATAAACACAAATAAGTCGGCACTTTCTCGGTTCTTGAATCTTGATACTGTTTCACTGCATTAGATCACGTTCGGTCTGTGTTCCATTCCTCTGCTCGCGAGATAGGTCTCAGGCCCCTGGTCAATGTACATTAGTGTTTCATTTTTATATGTCTTCAATGCATTGCAACTCACCTTCCTGTTCTTGAGCCGCGTGTTCTTCATCCTCCGGACATACCATTCGCCCTGAGTCACGCCTGGTTTGTATTTCGCTCTGTCTTCTGGGGTCATGTTCGAAAGCGTTTCTTTTATCAATTTACTCTCATCCAAAGCTCGTAGCTCCACGTTTGCACACGGACGGGAGAAGCAAACGACAGACCAGCGCGTATATGCGGCCTGGGTGCCTGGAGGTGGGACGATACGGTGCATATTTGAACGGAGGATTCCACCTGAGAATAACGAGAGTGCGTCTCCGATGTTACAGATAGCGTGTCCAGGCATTGGACGGACGTAGTGCCAGTCAGGGCTGCCGGGAGGAAGGACTTGCAGTCCACCGAGGCGGTTGTGCAAGAACGAAAGAGACCCAAAGTCCGTGTGAGCTCCTAGGGAGATTTTCTCTTTCTCAATCGGCCCGTTTCCGGTGTGAGTATGTTTCGGTGGACTCTTGATAGCGCGGGCTTCGGAACCACTGGGATCACCGTGGAGGCTCTTAAGCGTACCATCCGGGAGACCAAGCTTCTTGTCGAATACGGAGAAAATCGTTTCGAAAACTGTAAGTGACTTGCGCACGAATGGTGTGATGGTCGACTGCATGCGTGCATTCACGGTTGACGGATACGTGCGATTTTTAACCTCCGGATAGGCCAGAGCATCCTCCTTGGATATATTGATGAATTCAACATTGTCTGGGCTGCCGTATTCGTTTGTGGCAATTGTTCCCAATGCTTTGTAACTGAAAAAGAATGTCATAAGTGACATGGATGATCTGACTACGAAATGGCTTACCCGAAAGATTTGCCTTCGTCACCTTGCTCAAACTTCATCTTCTCCTCAACCGGAAGGTCCATCGTTTCTGCTCCCATATCAAACATCCCTTCAACCTCTTTGTCAGCTCCATGGTTCTTCAAGCTAGAGATAGCTCAGATGCCGCCTGGGCCAATACGACAAAGGCAAACTTTATCACTTACTACCAGAATCCTAGTTCTCGTGCAGCCTTCCAGAGCTTCTCGATCTCTTCAGAGTCACCAGCCTTTATGAGCTCAAAATCAATAACCAAGAGAGGGTGTGTGGGTATATCTTGCGGAAATGGTGGGAGAGTCAGTCCAGGCATGTTAACTGTGAGGACTAGTGATACAGTTGGGTGCTCCCAAGCTTGTCCGTTGAATCCAGCTTTTATACCGTACGAGCGATAAGAGTACCCATGACCCGCCACTAGAGAACCGGCTGAGTTATAAAAAGCCGACTATTTGCAACACTCGTTCATGTGAGTCCCATGTTAGATACCGTGTGAGGGCTTGAAGACCCAGAATCGCTGGTTTGGACGAAGAGAAGCCAGAGACCAGATGTCATAGGTCCAGAAAGGTAGAACTTTATCCAAAAGAACCCCGCATACAAAGCACCAGTGATATTTGCACACTTCTCTAAGACAGAGTTATTCAGTGTAAGAGAAGTCTCGCCCCAGCGGCCCGAGGTGTAACTGCTTTGAGGCGGTGCTTCTGAATGAACGAATGAATGAACAAAGATTCTAAAGCAATTGCGTCTTCCCCGATCAACTCCGTGTTATGAATAGCTCGGCATGCATTAGAGTTTATCCCGAGATAAAGCTGGCTGTTGTATTACTGTAGCTGGTGCTTGGAAGAGTACTCCAGCAATGCAACGGCTCAGAGGTGACGCTTGAAAGTCACCCGAGACCCGAAGCAATATCAGGTGAAACGACATTTCCGCATCGCGTTATTATCAGCTCCTTTCCTGCACTAATGTTTTCAGTGAGTTATACACTTGAGTTTGATGAGAGGAAGAAATTCGGTCGCCGAACTTGAGTACTAGATCGTCGAACTCTTGATAAGTGGTACCACTATGTAGGATGCACGAAACGTCGTACGTCACCTTTGTTTGGAATGCTTCTAGGAGCTACGAAATCCCGTTTTTGTTATGCTTAACAAAAGTAAGATGGTCAAAGCACAGGAAACGACGGAATAAAGTAGTTGTATCAGTGCGTCAGTACATCATGATCACGTGCATGAGTTCCGAAGAAATGACCCGCATTATTTGAATTTTGAAAAATCAGGTATAGCAAAACAAATTGATGTACAAGCATTCTGCAAAGCATCAGACATAAATCGAGTAAAGTTCGACGCAGCATCTAAAGTCCTTGTTCTTCTAGCTCCTCCAGCTTAGCCACTTGTCTGAAGAAAGCAACTTCATGAGAAAACGGTTGACGGGTCCGGAAGTATCAAACGAACCTATCTCTTACTGCTTCCTGCCATCGCTGTAGCTTCGCAATTTCATGTACTTGGAAACCGAAAATTTTCGGTCGGTATCTCTCTGCTTTAAGGGCCGCTGCTGCCGTGCTAACGCCTTCGCCTACACCTTCTGCAATCGCCTCTGGCTCATCCCGTGCACGTCTGCGTCGGGAGCTTTCGCTGCCTTCAGTCCCGCGTACACTACCCGATAACACGTCCGGCGGGCCACTCTTTGGAGGGATCATGGCTGGGTAGACTAGGAAGAGCATGTGCGGGAAAGATGTGCCGAAATATGCGCCGTCGATAGATCCATGTCGTGAGGACTTGGGAGAATAGATATCCTCGCATCGACCGCAGTAGAGTTTGACCGATTTTTCGTATGGAATGTCGCTTAGACCGACAGGTAACAATGGCTGTTGTTGACAAAGAACGCGTGGACAACGACCGAAATCAGCCTTCTTATATTTCTCAAGCTAATAGTCGAGTCAGATAGATGTCGTGTGCAGTGTACAGAATCAAACCATTTTTGCCAACCCCCGTGAAGTGATAATCCACCGCGCATGGATAAGGCCGTATAACAGTCGTGCTTGGACATCTAACGATCCTCGGAATTCATCGGCCATTTCGTCGTCTGTCAAGACCTCGTCAGAGAAAATGTACAAAAATGATGGTGCGACAGACCTAAGTTATCTGTGATTAGGTCTAGGGCTTGATTGTAATTTTGAACTTCGGTATTTAGTCCCGTTAAGTTGAAGCGGTCCATGATGTAGTCTTCTTCAACTTCGCAGAAGTATTCATTTCCTTTCGACGAGAGAAACCATGAAATCCACTGTACACGAATCAGCATCTTCAATTATACATCATCAAACGCAGACATTACAGAGCTTTGAATGCCAAGAGTGATGGACTGTCAGACACAAGCAGCAGCATAGATGAAGGTAAACTGGCGTACTTTGAGTAATCCGAGTCTGATCCTGTTGAGATTTCTTCCACTGCACGACGCATGATCAGTGAGTCTGAGTGCTCGCGGCTGAATGAGACTGACTTGTGCGGGTCCTGGTGAGGGTAGGAGGACAAGTAGTGCTGTGCTCAAATAAACGTGGATGTGTGCCGCATGAATTCCGGTTCAGTCGCGTGGATCCGACTGCCACTCTAGGCTTGACGTGCATCCATTTCGATACTCCTGGTCACAACAGATGTTCGCTAACCTCCTCGCTTCTTACGCTTACTCTCATCCACCATGCAGTCGCATGGCGATGTCGACGATGGTGGTGGGGATCTCGGGCTCGTGAACGCAAATGATGATTCTGCGTTTTTTGTGCAGACTCCGGAGCGAACAACGCGACGGCTGCCGTCATTTAACCAACACATGCGGCGACCTTCTTCGTCATCTCATGTATCACCAACATCGCCAGACTTCCTGTTGGAGAGGCAGGAGAGGAGCAAGCCACGTCGGCCTTCCTTGCACCATCTCTCCCGGTCGCAAACATTGCCTCGAAGTTACCCAAGAAGTCCAGTGAGAGAGAAGACAATAAACTCCCTAGATGTATCCCTGGAGCCTGAAGTGGTCTTGAAATTAAGGAGATGGATATTCTGCGCTCTCGTTGGTTGGTACAATTTCAGATATTTGTTTAGTACGATACGTTGAAAAGTTACCGTTTACAGTAAACTTCGACCTTGACTTGGGACCTGTTGTGGACGGTATCTGTCCCCCGACCTCCTTTTCGGAGATGGAGAAGGAGAACATGTGAGTGGCAGTACTTGAAGTACTTGAAGCTATCTACTCATATAATAAGCGTTATTTTTTTAAAGTTGCTTCTCTTCGTTTCCTGACTCATTTCGTTATGCGGAGGGCGCGGAGGCGCATACATTCCGAATACGAGAGCAGTCACCTACTTCGGCCTCACACGATGGCTTCCTGTATGGTTTCTCCTACTTTCGAAGGCGGAAGGATTCAACATCTTTGCGTGGTTATGACCAGGTGGGTTGGAACTATAATATTATCAGCTCAGGTTCTCACGACTTCTTCGTTCAGAGATCGCTGATCATCCTGGCATATCATCCTTGGCCTTCATTATTTTTGGAACTAATTAAACGCCTTGGACCGATGTTTCTTGCTCACGGAGGACCTATGCTAGAATCAGCCTGCCACAACATCGCTAACTGGTGAGCAAGCCTTTAGATGTTGGTCATGTACTTACTGAATTGCAAAGAATAGGCCTGCACCAGATCCAGGAACGACGCATGAACTAGGCTTCCTAGGCTCTGTCCTTACTGTTGAATTGCCAGGCGGTGTCGACCAGCAACAGAGTATCGAGATGTCATCATTTCGCAAAAAGTTTGACCCAGATCTACATGTATGCACCTTTACTCTAGGTTAGAAAGTGACTGTTTAACGATTATTCACAGCTCTTAGCATCAGTTGCGCCAGTAGCACCACCTCCGCTACGACTTTTTGCCGCATCAGTCACACATTTATGGTCAATATGGGAGTGCATACTCTTATGTGAACCACTTCTTGTTTTTGGTCCCTCGCCTGCAATGACCAGTCAAGCTATTTGGTGGTTCGTTGACATCTTGAGACCCGTAAGTTAATGTTTTACTGAGACTGAGCAACTGCAAATTAAATTATTCACAAAGGTCTCCTTTGTGGGAGACTTTCGCCCATACTTCACAATTCATGATAAAGAATACCACACGATTGTCAATAAAAATCGGCCGAAGTCGGGACTATTACTGGGTGTAACCAATCCACTGTTTGAGAGTATGTGCAAGCACTGGCCCCACAAGCTCAGTTTGGGCGAGGAAATCGATACATCAAAGTGAGTTCACGCTTAGACCCGGGACATATGTATATTCATGGTTTAAGAAGATCGATTGGGTCGAATAATCCCATTATCGCTGGTCCTGTGCCCGGGTGGCAGACCAAAACTCACAATCGCTATATTTCAAAAGATAGAGATCTACTGAAGCAGCTAGAATCTGCTATAAAGAAAGGTGGACCTTTGGGTATGTGCATTTTCAACGGTTCAGCACCAGCATGTAACGCGTAACTCAATCAGATGTGGACGGGAGATTGTCGCTGCTCTTACGACGTCACTTCACCACCCGCTCCGTTCAATTCCTTGTTCCGCTGAATCGCTACCTTAACACACTTATACCTTCGCCCGCAACTGGTTCAGTGGGAGGGGCTCCACCCGCGCAATCGCTAAAGCCATTCAACCGAGATCATTTCTTTGCATCACTTAAGACTCACGGATCGCCACTTCCCTTTCGTAGCTCAGCGAAGCAAAAGGAGTTTTACGAGCGCTGGCTGCGGACACCTGCGTTTGGGCTCTGGATGGCGAAGCAGGAGGAAACGATCAACCAGTTTCTACGAGGGACCTCATAGGCGTTGCATCCGAACCAGACCTACCTTTTTATCCATTATACTCAAGGTGACCACTTCGGAGATTCTCGCGAATGTACATAGCCCTCGTGATATACTGTGCATATCATCATGATTCCGAGCTTTTAAGGCTACATTTTTAGCCGCCAACGATCGTGCTTCAGCTACACACCTGCCGGGTGACGATGGACCAGCTAGTTCGTGAAGAAATCACGGTGCCCCTCTACAACCCTAATGAAGTCAAGCAACCCTCCGAAAGGAGACACGAGCGTCTCGTTGGAGTCTAGGATGACGTTGCGGATACCAGTTTGACGGATGTACTTCTCGTTTTCTGGGCGCAAGCTAGCGCATTGACGCAAGGAAACCTCTTCCAGCTCACTGACACCCTCAAGCGGACGTCCATTCCTGCTAACTCGGCTCTCCAGAACGGGAACAATATCTGCGTCCTCAAAGTCCTCGCATCCCCCGAATCTGATGGACTTGAGGTTGGGAACCACTTGTTGGTCGGTCCGATGAGGTTCCCAAACCAACGCGCGCAACAAGACTGGCGTAATGAGGGCGTGATTGATCGTCAGATGTGTGAGCGTCGGTGTTGCTCGAAGAATGTCAAGGAGACACATGTCCGTTGCACCCATATCACCTATTGCAAGATGCGTGAGAGGTGGGCGTTCACTCGCTGTGATGAAGCGAAGCAAAGTATCCCAGATTCCATTCAGCGTTTCTGCTCCTCCACGCATTGCAAGTCGCTCGAGCTTCGGTGCGGAGATGACCTCAAATAATGGTCGAGAATCTAGAGGTACCTCCCAGCTGTCCCAGCTGACGTAGAGAGCCCGTAGCTTGGGAAGCTCAAGTCGACCATATGTAGCATCGACTTCAGAGTCATTTGAACGGTTCAGCCCGATGTACGCAGTATGTAGGTTTGGCAGTTCCCTCAGTATTTCTACTGCTGTCCGGCAGTCCATCCAGAATGGATTCCGCATCTCCGAAAGCTCCAGCCGAGAAAGCTGTCGTTGACTGTAGAGAGACTGTTGGTCGAGCCCGATGTTCTCGAGCGAAAGGAATGTTAGCTTGGGCATCTGTTTCGACAGATCAAGATGCAAAGGTCGTGAGGACGTTACCACCTCGGAAATCCCGACCAAGTCCAAGACTTCCAACGACATCATTCCGTCAAAGCCCAGGTCAGCTGCAACAGATAAAGGAAGCGTGCCTTGCAATGAGCGAATACGATGTCGATGAGGGGAGATAAGTGCCATAAGTGTCCTGTAGACGTTCTGCTTCTTGCGGTATTCATCTAGTGTAACATTCCTGACCACACCATCCAGAATGCTTATGTCTACATCGACATCCAGAGATCGAGTGCCAGATCTTTCTAGCCAAAGATATAGCAAAGGCAGGATGTTCTTGCGTCTGAGAGCAGGGTTGTTTATGTGCAGTTCAGTCCACAACTCCGGAGTCTCCAGGGCAACGGTTCGCCAGTGTTGACATACATGAGTTAGCAGGAGAGGAGCGAACTCTGACCTGAAGCTTGGATGTTCTGGGAGGCAATATTTGAAGACTTCACTTAATAGTTCAACTGGAAGTAAGTTGATGACCGGCTGCATGCACGGTTGGGGAAAGAAAATCAAAAGAGTGGACCTGTACCTATGGGATCATGAGTCTCCTGTCGTGTAGACAGTGTTGAAAGGATGAGGACTTACGGTCAGGTAGTAAGGAGCGTGGGAAGTTCAAAAGAACTGGTAAGAGTAGGGAAAGTAAGGAACGAGTCCTATAGAACAGGAGCACTGTAGGAGTGCACGTAATATCAGGAGAGATCCGAGAGCACAATCTTGACTCAAGGCCGCCACTTTGCCATTTCAGTACGATTGTGCAATGTATACGTTTCGTACTGGGTAGCGGTTCCTTGGGCAGGGACTCAGGGAGGAGTCAAGGACATCATTTCGTCTGATGCCAGTTCTTAGAATAAGGAAATGTCCTGTTCTGGCCTGTGGTACAGCGCATAACATGTGTAAATTAGCATGCTGGGCAACTGCTGCCTCAACTTTCTGACCAGCACACGACGTGAAGAGATGGCCGCTCGTTGGTGCAAAACTGGGTCGAGTGCAAAGTCGAGCTGATGTGCCATAGTCTTTGCACGTGATCGACTTGTTGCCACAACTGGCAGCATCGACGGCGATTCGACGCCGACGTCGCGCTGTCTGCGACGTGTCACTTGAACCTTGAGCTTGTCGGCAAGCCTCTTCTCAAATTCTTATGTGCAGCTTATGAGGCTCTTATAAGATTGAATACCTATACGTATACCCTTGTCCCCTTCTTTTCTTTGCGAGATACGGATAATATACCTTCCTTCCTGTGTCAACACTGAACTTGAATACCCGTCATGTTCTCGAGACCTCTTACGGTATCGCTATCATGGACTCTGCTCCTCGGGCTACTTTTTCACATAACATACATTATGTCTGTTTTCGACTGCTACTTTACAAGCCCGGTTGTACATGGCATGGAGCACTTTAGCGCGGGAACCGCGGAAGCAAAGCGTCTCGTTCTATTCGTAGGTCGGTAACTTCAACCCGCTTCAAGCATTTAGATGACAAACAAGTCAACTTGCATATCGCAAATTTCGTGTAGCGGATGGATTGCGGGCAGACCTGCTGTATAACCTAAAACCGTTTCCTGCTATACCCGATTCTCCTGAAATCGTCGCGCCCTACCTTCGTGGCATAGTCGAAACACGAGGAGCATTTGGTGTATCGCATACGCGAGTGCCGACCGAGAGTCGACCTGGGCATGTTGCAATTATCGGAGGGATGTATGAGGATGTGTCGGCGGTAACGAAGGTGCGTATATGCACGTCATTGTTTTAAAGCGGGCTGCTGAACGAAGGCAAGTAGGGATGGAAATCCAATCCGGTATGACAAATCTCTATGCAATCTTTGTCAGTGATAGGCCTCATGGAGGCGTACTTCTGTAGGTCGACTTCGATTCGGTGTTTAACCAGTCTCGCTACACGTTCTCGTTTGGGTCACCGGACATCTTGCCTATGTTCGCTAAAGGTGCTGTTCCAGGTAGAGTGAAAACTTGGTCGTATAATGAAGAGGACGAGGACTTCACTAGAGGTGCGAATACATGTACTTCGCTTACGAGGGAAACAGAATTGACTTATGGTATAATGACAACCGTAAGATGCGACGGAGCTGGACGTATGGGTCCTGGACCAGTTGGAAACCCTCTTTAGGAATGCTTCATCAAACGCTGCACTGGACGCGGACTTGCGTGAGGACAAAGTGATATACTTCCTTCATTTATTAGGGCTCGACACGACTGGACACTCGTACCGTCCGCATTCAAAGGTTCTTTCTTTGAACGTAGTGTTAAGCCTAGCAAACTAATGCAGAGCAGGAATATATGCAAAACATACAAGTTGTCGACGGGATCGTGGAGAAAACAGAGAGGCTCTTTAATGAATTTTTCCAAGACGATAAGACGAGTTTCGTCTTCACAGCGGACCATGGCATGTCAAATATCGGGAATCATGGTGATGGGAGTAAGTAGGAGGCAGATTGTTCAACAATGTGAATGCTAACCACGGGTAGATCCGGACAGTACACGCACGCCACTCATCGCATGGGGCGCAGGAGTCCGTGGACCGTTGCCAGATTCGCGTCCTTCCTCACACGATGAATATTCGCGTCCATGGGGTCTCTCTCACCTCGTTCGACGCGATGTTGAACAAGCAGATCTTGCATCATTAATGAGCACACTGCTCGGCATTAACTTCCCTGCTAACTCTGTTGGCGTTCTGCCCGATGTCGATGTTGAACACACTGGATATTTGAAACTTAGCGAAGAAGATGCAGTAGTAAAGGCTGCCGTTGCAAATGCAAAAGTATGTCCCTTGCATACTCTCACGACTGTTAAGGTGACTTACATCTTGCTTTAAAGACCATCCTTGAACACTACCGAGTAAAGCATAGTATGTAGCATATTTCACGACCGTACTCCTGGATTAATGGGATTAATTTGTATGTTTAGGGCTCAAGGCGATGAAGAAGATTTTCTTCATTCCGTTCCCGGGCCTTGCAACGCGAGACGCGCATGGCTCTCCGGGCTCGGGTCATCTCTTGCGCATCGAACAACTGTTGTACGCACAGAAATGGAGAGAGGCCCGCAAGGAGACTGCCGAACTAATACGACTATCGCTCGAGGGTTTGCGTTATTTAGAAACGTATGTAAAATGCGTATCGCAATTCGAAGCACCTGGCTAATATTCGTCTATTAGGTATGATCGCGTCATGCTGCGAGTGATTGTCACCGTAGGCTACCTCGGCTGGTCTGCCTTCAGTGCGACGGCGCTTCTCATGAAGCACTTGGGAGAATCTTCGACTAAATCTCCTGGATCAAGTCTCCTTATTGACTTTTCGACATTATGCATATTGCTTGCGTTCTTCGGATTGTTTGTACTGCAAGGCGAACCATGGTCATATTATCTATATGTCGCTTTCCCGTTATATTTCTGGCGGACGGTCGCTTTCCGTGTCTCCCATTTCTACGCAAGCAGTAATCCGTCGGGATCTTGGACGACCCTTTCATTGTCTGACAAGGGCGTCCGTAATGCTGTATGGATAATTGTCACAACGTTCGCAGCGCTGCAGGCAATGGTGGTGAGTCGCAGAACTCGACATTTAGACGTAACGATGGTAAAGCTAAGCACAAATCGTGAAATAAAAACAGTTTGCTTATAAACATCGCTCTATTTGGAGCGTCGGTTTTGTTGCCATGGCCTTCCTATGGCCCTTGCTCGCTTGGCCTACAAATGTTACGAAAACGAAGCCATATCTCGTATATAAATGGATGGTTACTTGCCTCATTTGTGCGGTCTTTCCTCTTAGGAATGTGGAGCAAAGTGAGGACCTACGTGTAATGTATGCATATGAGAACGATCGGTTTGGGATGTCAACTGACGTATGCTAATCTTGTGTCCAGCGTATCTGGCGGCCTTGCGATGCTATCTTCTGGCTTATACGCGATTGATAAGATAGGGCATCGAAACTCCAGAAGCCAACATATGGCTCAGGTAAGTCATTAAGCAATCCTTATCAGTCTGAATAGATGCTGATAACGCTACGAATAAGCTTACTCTCACTCTTCTAGCCTTGTTTGTTACAGGTGACTCCGCCCGTCGTCTTACGGCAAAAGAAGGGCTTCCCCTGGTTAATCAGGTCCTTGGTTGGGTTATCCTCGGTATGTCTTCACGTTTCGTGGATAAGTCATGTCTTAACTCATGACTCGAATCAGTAACATCTGCATTTCTCCCACTGCTTTTCCCTTTCCGCGCCCAACCACGGTCTGCCAAGCTCCTGACGTTGTTCCTAGCTTTCGCACCATGCTTTATTCTGCTCTCAATCTGCGCAGAGGGCCTATTTTACCTTGCCTACTGCGCTGCGCTGATCGTCTGGGTAGAGGCGGAAGCAACAGTCCGGAAAGCGAGTACTACTGCTCGCAGATCCAGCACGGATGGGGATGCTGCGAATGTTTCTAAAAGTTCCTCGAAAATTTTGCGGGAGTACAACCTATGTGCAGACGACGTGCGCATTGCGCTGTTCTTCCTATTTTTCGTCCAGGTTGCATTTTTTGGAACAGGAAAGTGAGTAGTGTGCATCTTATACTTCTGCAGAATTTCGACGCTAATTATCGTTCTATAAGTGTTGCATCGATATCGTGAGTCTAGCCATATAGGTTGAGAAAAGAACACTAAATTTACCTATGATCCAGCTCATTTTATCTCGAGCCTGTTTATCGTCTCGTTCCTATCTTCAGCCCGTTCATCATGGGGGCTCTTCTGGTAAGTTACGACATTAAGTTGCTCCAATCGAACTATGAACGAGATTGTGTTTTCAGATATTCAAGATCATTGCTCCATACGTGATGCTGTCTGCGGCGCTTACATCTCTTAGCCAAGACCTCAACATGCCGCCTTTTGCGCTGTTCCTCGTTGCTCTTAGCCTTACCGATGGTTCGTTTCCTGACACTGCAGTATATTAAATGGTAATGTAATAGTTGTACTTACCGAGTTTCTCTCGCAGGAATGACCATCACATTTTTCTTGAATGTAACCGATACGGGTTCGTTTCGTTTCTTATGTTTTTATGCGCCGATAGAGTAACTAACTTTAAATCTGTCTGTACTGTGATAGGTTCATGGCTCGAGATCGGACAAAGCATCAGCTTCTTCGTCATCACGTCACTGCTTCTTCTATGGTCTGCGGGAATCTGTGCACTTGGGGCTTGGCTTATGCGAGATGTCTCGTCTTCTGCAGAAGGAAAGAAAATCAAACGATTATAGGAATTTCTGAGTAGTACTTGAGTATTTGGTATCTAATTTATCTCGATTATCTTGTTCTCTGGTTAGTAGATTGTTATTCTAAATTAGTACTAGTACCCTCTTCTTGTCTTTGACTCCCTGGTTCCAATCTTCGAGGGTATCCAGCCTCACACAATACCTACAAATATGGTACGAGTTGAAGCCAGAATATTAATACTCACCGGTTTCATGCCTCAAAACAATTGATTAGGTAACGCAGAACCAGACAATAGAGTCTCGGAAAGAATACCCTTGGAGGAGTAACACGTGTGTCCTTCGGATGTGATTTCCATCGAGGGTGAACCTGCTGGTGATTATAACGCGATGTCCTTCCTTTTCAAGTATCCATACTTTGAGTATACTTTTGCTCTGTCCTGCAGCTTCAAAAGCGCATCGTTGCGAGCTCATTATGCATCCCCAAGTCCAACTCGATTATTCGAACTTGAACACTCTGCACTATGCCTCCGATCCGTGAGCCTGCTTATGGAGAAATGGCCTTTGTACATCACGTTGGTAGGTGTTCTTCGCTGTGTCTTTGCCTTTGCGAGAGTGCTGAAGTACCGTATAGGTGCAATGGTTCCTCGTAGCTATGGAGACCATTCAAGCTCTTTGAAACATCCGCATCGGCCTATGACCATTGCTCCTAAGCCGTCCACGATCCCACCGATATCAAAGAAACGCCGGGCGCCTAACGCATTCATCCTATTCCGGTCGCATTTCATTGCGACTGGGCAGGTTCCTTCAGGAATGGTTCACCAGAATGATGTTTCACGCTATGTTGCAGAAGTATGGAAATCGAAGTTAACCCCATCGGATCGTGCCATATTCTTCAAAAAAGCACAAGAGGAGAAGGCTCGGTTCGACATTGAGGGACCTAGAGAACCTGCGAAGAAGAGGAGGAGGTCAAAGAAGGCGCACCATTCGAGCTCACCAAATTCAACCGCCCACCCTGACCTTCTACCAAGTCCTACCTCCTCATCTGACGATACGTTCGAAGCACCCAGCACGTCTTCCTCAATCCCGAGTGCTATGCAGCTCTCACCACAGAACTATTCTTCGCCTAATGTTCATCCTTCTCCAACAGTAAGTTAAAGTCTTTTGGTTACAAGGCGGATGTTCACTTAGCTTATCTACAGGTCGGTGATGCGCCACTCGCGTTCTCTGCACCACAGCCAATGCATACCATCCCTCCTATCCTGTTCGACTGGTATTCCCTGGTGGACAATCATACTCCAAGCATGGAGAACCAAGATTCGCCTACCAACTCTAACATGATGCCGTTACCCGAATCTTCCGCCTCTAGCTATATAATCGACTGCAGTATGCCTCTGATGGACCCGGGTTTCAATGCACTGCAGCTCGACTTTAATTTTCAGCCAGCAGATCTAGATATGTCATTTTTCGAGCCTGTGGCTCCTGAGTTTCTTCTTCCTTTGCCGTTTGCAACCCCTTTTTAAAACTTCGCTTGTGTCTACCGTGTAATTATCACATCAATCTTCGTCACTTTCACATGCTTTTCACCCCTGCGAATTACCTTTTCTCTTTCGATCGCTTGATACAAGCATATTATTTTCTGCAACTCAACCAAAGTAATCAAAAAAAGTGAAGGTTATGGGACCCCTCAGCGCGATTACCAGACACGTAGAGCATTGAAACCGATCAAGTCATGCCCATAGGATGCGTATAGACAAATTTATTCGTGAGAAGATCTATGCAAGAACAACACTCCCAATAACTTCTGACACGTCCTATCTATGCACGCTCTATTTCTTCTCTTCATGAGCCTTCAATCAAAACGATAGCCTCCATCAGCACCGATGGTTTGCCCTGAAACAAAAGTGTAAGCATCGTCAAGGAAATCCGAGTGGTCTGAGATTATGCAGTAAATGTACCGTTAACGAAGAAAGATTCGGGCTTCGCTAGGTACGCCACCAGGCTTGCAATATTCTCGGGTTCCCCTAGCGGGCAGCTTGCAAGTGGGCCCATCGCAGCGACATACTAGAAACAGACTTTAAGTCAAGGGAATCGAGATCTAAAAGAACTGTGAGCCTGACCTGCTTGGGGTCGGTAATTCCGGTATCTTGATGATAGCACCGTCAACATTCCTATCGTGCATGACAGTACACCAAAAGATTAACATACCCATGTTTGTACGAACAGCTCCAGGTGAATATCCATTTACTGTGATGCCGTATCTTCTCAACTCAATGCCTGAGGTAATTGCGACAAGTGTTAAGCGTAACTCTTCTTTTGGGTTTCCGAGCATTTATAACGGATCAAAGAAGTCTTACAGGCGGTCTGCACTATTCCACGCACAGCGAACTTCGAGGCAGAATAAGCAACCAAATTCTGCGATGCTACAGGTCATTAGTTAGTTAGACAATACTGAATCTCGCTGGAGAAGGCATTAAGTAATAACCTTGCTTTCCCACTTGGGAATTTGCAGCTTTGAGCAGTCCATTAGTATGATTTACTAGCATGATCATTGGATAAAAGGGGGCCAACCAATCAATCGTCCACCTCGGCCTTGCTTTATCATCTGCAGTGCGGCATGTTTGAAGCACAAGAAAGTGCCACGCGCGTTGACTCCAAGGACGTTGTCAAAACTTTCAACGCTTGCTAGAAGCGATCATTGGAGATTAATTAAGTTTCATTAAAGAATGTAACCTTACTGTGAAGAAAGCTTCGCAGCAAAGCAACTCCTGCATTTGCAACCATCTACTGTTAAGTCAGTTTTGACCTATGAGGAGGAACCGCTGATTTACAATGTCCACACTACCTAGCTCCTGTACTGTCCTCTCAATAATGGAGATCACATCCGCCTCTGAAGATATATCTCCTGGAGCACTAATTGCACGCCGCCCTTTCTTGTGCAAGTTTTCGACAACAGTTTTGATCTGATCTTGTTTTGAAGCAAGATCATTAATAACCACGTCGATGCCATCATCAGCAAGTCTGTGAGCAATGGCACATCCAATACCCTGTGCAGCACCTGTAACAATTGCAACACGCGGAGTATAGCTACTGAACGGAATAATTGGTGCCTTGTCGTCTTGAATGAAAAGCGGTTCCATCCCGAGCTTACAATAGAGAAAAGTGGGGAGACAGAGATCAGGTCAACGAAGCAGTTCCCTGAGCCAAGATAAATAGCAAGGAAGATCAAGGGAGCCATGTAGCCAAGTCAGCATCAAGTCATGATGCATAGACTTGGATAAGGTTGGACGAGAACCATATTTTAAGCCTCCAATAACGCCCTAGATAAGTGCTATCAGATCGGATACGACATTTTCTCCTCATATCAGCATATTAATAGATATGGGGAAAGTTTTATGGATCCGCGCTGTCCAGACAATGAACAGATATAAAGAGTCGGTCAACATATTTTCACCTGAAGACGCCCATACTTGATATAGTCCAGTCATTTGACTGCAACGTATCACAGGAGAACAACGTCAAGATGGAAATACACGCAACTATGCGGATGGAATTCGGAGATTTATTTTGTCCATTGCTGCATTCGTTCACCTATTCACCGGAGGGCGCGCACTGTGCCATAATCCAGGACCGTGACTGGAAACCTTGTCCCCAACAATCAAGGAATGGCTTATCCAAGTCCAATGGTGAGAAGTTAAGCCACAGTCAGCAGAGCATATATTCACGCAAATCCGATTCTACGGAAGAGTGTACCAACAGCACCTGCGATTTCGACAGATGGTTTCAGCATACATGCGCCCTATTTCTTACTTTCTTCTTTGACAATGGTGTTCAATCAAAGCGGAAACCTCCGTCAGCAGTAATGGCTTGCCCTATATAAAAACAGCGGTTCAGTCCCAATTGAGACGATCTATGAGGGTGCAACTTTGCATTACCGTTTATAAAGTGAGACTCGGGCTTCGCCAAGTACGATACGAGACTAGCAACGTTCTCCGGCTCCCCATTAGGGGCATTGGCAAGCAGACCGAGTACCAAATCACGCTGGAAAATAGCACAATCCAGGAACACACCGAAAGTAAGCATCAATCATAGGGCGAATTTTTCCCTAGAAAACGGGCAAGACCGACCTGTTTAGTATCAACAGCCACTCCAGTTGCTTGACATTTTTTATTAGTGCTTTGCCACGCACATGCGGCATTTTCATGCTTTGAAAAGAGTCACATACATATTCCCGTTTGGATACGTCCAGGTGCATATGCATTCACCGTAATACCATGTCTGCGCAATTCAATAGCTAAAACAATCGCAGGACATATTAATACATGCTACATTTTGTGATACGACTGAAGATACCACTCACCTGCGGTCTGCACAATCCCACGCACAGCAAACTTAGAAGCACAATAAGCTGTCAAATTTTGTGATCCTGTATTCAAGCAATCAGCAACGATTACATGCGTAAAGAACTATACTATGACCTTGTTTGCCCATGATGGAGCTCGCGGCTTTTATCGATTGTTAGCTACCCAGTTATGTTGTTGAAATATATGCCCACCGATGAGTCTTCCGCCACGTCCTTGCTTTATCATCTGCAGCGCGGCATATTTGAAGCACATAAAAACACCGCGAGCATTAATTCCAAGGACACTGTCATAAGTATCGACGCTTGCTAAGGGGTGACTGATACAGCTCAATCGACCCTTCATGTGAATGTAGGCTTACTCTGAAGGAAGCTACAGAGCCGTGCAATTCCTGCATTCGCAACCATCTACTCTCAAGTTAGTTCTGCGCTAGGACCTGAAACCAATGGCTTACAATATCCACACTCCCCAATTCCTTCACAGTCTTCTCAGTAATGGCAATCACGTCCGCCTCTGAGGATACGTCTCCTGGGACGGCAATTGCACGCCGACCTTTCTTACGCAATTCTTCGACAACAGAGTTTATCTGGTCTTGCTTAGATGCGATATCATTAACTGCGATATCGATTCCATCGTCAGCGAGTCTGTTAGAAATAGCATATCCTAGACCCTGTGCACCGCCCGTGACGATTGCGACACGCGGCGTATAGCTACTGAACGGAGTGACTGGAGCCTGATCGTCTTGGGTGAAAAGCGAATCCATAGCAGGCTGGCGACAGAGAACGATTAAGGACTATTGAATCCGAGTAGAGAGGTTGTTCACCACCGTGTTCGAGAGCGAGATGGGACAGAGACATGCATGAAACACTGTTATTTAAAGCACGCTATGTGCGACGAAGCCTGATGACCGCGGTATACAGATATTGAATGATCCCCAACGCCGCTGGAACATCATCAGCGGCACCAGCGTCAGACTCAGACTCAGAGAGAATGTGTCAACTCTATTGGGGAGTTGAAATTCCGAAAGCAGCGCGTTGGTGACGATAATCAAAATATGTTAGTCTTGCATGGCGCAAGAGGGAAGACAGAACTTACGTGATGGAAAAAGCATTAGCACGTGCCCGTGAGAAGTAATATGTCTTCTTTTTTTGGACACTGGACGGATAGACCCATGATTGGTTTATATTCTACCCCGACCGAATCTACGTGCACGACAAATGATTTCTCCGTCATCCAGCATTTAAACTCATGGATATGCCGCCAATCCGTCTGTGGATTCAAAATCGCGTCGACACAAATTCGTACGCTGGGGTCCTATGACATTTTACACTTATGAACTTTCTTGCTCTCGGGACAGATTACTTTATCCTCTCGTTGTACCTCAAATTGCTCTGAATTCGACTTCTACACACGCGGCGTACTTCCATGCAAGTATTGGTTCCTCGACTGTGGTCATTTGACTGAAACATGCCATGCATGCGAGCTTTAGATGCAGAGTGTCCATCGATTTGCTGGATCTGTGAATTGTTTCTGCTGTGTGGGGATGGGAAATTCCCGTTTAGCACCTTGCTGTATGACTGTCGGCCCGTCTTATCCAAGCTTATTTATGAATTCACGAACCATACCCAGCTCTCCCATCCTACTTTCCCATTGATCTCGGTTTGGCGAACTGCGTATTTGAGCTTTTTTGACACTAGTTCCTCGCCGGTAGCTTAAGATGGACTCGCTTTTCGTTAAAGATGATCAAGTCCCGGTTACTCCGTTCAGTAGCTATACACCGCGCGTTGCGATTGTTACAGGAGCTGCACAAGGCATCGGGTATGCCGTTGCTCACAGACTCGCTGATGATGGAATCGACATCGCCGTCAACGATATTACCTCAAAACGAGACCAGATCAATATCGTTGTCGAGGAGTTACGCAATAAAGGTCGGCGTGCAATTGCCGCACCAGGAGACGTATCCTCTGAGGTGGACGTGATTTCCATTATCGAGAAAACAGTGCAGGACCTAGGAGGCGTTGATATTGTAAGTTATTAATTCCGTACCTTAGTCCACAGATAACCTTAGAGCAGATGGTTGCGAACGCGGGAATCACTCAATTTTGTGGCTTTCTTCACAGTAAATTACCGTTTCAATAGTAATAAGCACGATGCCAGACCTCAACCATCGCTAATAATAGCTAGCATTGAGACTTATGATAAAATCCTCGATGTCAACGGGCGTGGTACTTTCTTGTGCTTCAAGTATGCCGCACTACAGATGATAAAGCAAGGTCGGGGTGGAAGATTGATCGGTTGGTCTCAATCAATGATCTTAGATATGCAAACTGACGGACTTTGTACAAAGCTGCAAGTTCTTTTCTGGGAAAACAAGGTTATGAACGCCTTCTACAGAATTCTGGTATCTGATTACTATGTCACAGGAGCACCAAATTTGATAGCTTATGCGGCTTCTAAGTTTGCCGTGAGAGGAATAGTGCAGACTGCCAGTAAGCTTCGTCCATCTTTAAGGGTTGTTTCAGTTACTAATAGTGGGACCACACTGTGATGCCTGCCTCATCATAATATATCCAGGTATCGAGCTAAGCAGACACGGTATTACAGCGAATGGATATGCGCCTGGATCAATCCGTACGAATATAGGCGAGTCCATCTTTTCAAGTACTCTCGTATGCAATAGCAGTGCTGACGAAGGAGATATTTAAATACTGGACTTACCGACCCCGAGCAGGTTAGCACTACAGTTCTTTTTATCTCCATCCCTTTGAGCTTGTACCTCTTCTTCTTAGTATGCTGCTGCGATGAGGCCGTTCGCAAGTTTTCCGCTTGGAGAGGCTGAGGATATCGCAAGCCTAGTGTCATATCTGATAAAACCCGAATCTTTCTTCATCAATGGTAAGCTTGTTCCACAGTCTTACTGCCACTTGTCTCTAATAAGGAAACACGTTTTTGGTACAGGACAAACTATCTCTGCTAATGGAGGTATTCATTTCGATTGAAGATTCACAAACAAATGGGGATGTGCATAAACTGGAATTGTCTGGAATTGTCAAGAATATATATCTTTTTCTTGCTAGTAAATGTACATGTATGCATCCTTTGCGAAATGGCTCGCTCCATCTTGCTATGCCTGGCCTATCTGGCGATTGTGTTTAGGAACCACACAACCATTGTCTGACCTTCAATAGTTCTCAGAGTGATATAGCCGTACATTCACACGCATCTTAATATTTCAGGAAAAAATTAAGCATTCTTGCTCACTTGGTATTTGTTACCTTGAATCAGCAAAAATGATACCAACAATTAAAACTTTTAATTTGCTTCACTGTATATAAACTGCAAATCTCACTAGTGAATCTCTGCTATTGCAAGAACCGCAAGGGCTCAGAGACATTCCATCATTGCAATGTTTATGCATTTGTTCGAAGTCGTTTATCTAATTTCCACCTGCGTAGCTTACATTCAATCATAACGAATGGATCCACCATCAATAGTAATGCATTGTCCTACAGGACAAGGACTCAGAATTACTCAAGAAGATGGTTAACGGAAGTGAATACCATTTATGAAATAGGATTCAGGTCTAGCATAGTACGCGACCAGACTGGCAACTGTCTCGGGTTCGCCGAATATTGGATTTGCAGACAACTGGAAGAGGTATGGTGAGTGTGAACGATCGAATGCGTCACATCGGTTGAAATAAATGTATTACCGTTTTAATGGATTCGTCATCGGGTCCAGACACTTTAAGGAGTATAGTTTATATTACGAGTCGACAGAAATATTACTGGGCCACTCACACATAGCAGTACGAATGACACCGGGCGCATATGTATTGACCGTAATTCCATATTTGCGTAGATCTGCAGCTAGCGGAGAGAAAAATATCATGTTGGAAGGTTTGATCTACATGCTGTGAACAGCAGCGTACAGGCGGATTGCGTTATGCCTCGCACAGCAAATTTTGAAGCACAGTAAGCCGCAAAACCGAGACTTCCTAATGTTAAAATAAGTGGGGGCAGCCATGGTATTGGCGCATATTACAGACCTGTCTTTCCGACTACCGAGCTTGCAGCTACATTTTGAAGTTTAGTTTTCTACATTAAAATGTCACTAGCGTTAGAGAACAGACCTATTAGTCTTCCGCCACGACCCTGCTTGACCATCTGTGCTGCAGCATATTTAAGGCATAAGAAGACCCCACGGTTGTTGACGGCGTGAATCTCTTCGAACTTCTCAAGTGTGGCTGACGGTAACATCAGATGGGTTACGAGGTAATCTGGCTTAAGTTGCACATACTGTCCAGGATGGACTTGAACGTGCCAATCCCTGCATTTGCGACCATCTTTATACACAATCAGAACCAAACCTTTAACAGTGTGAGAGGTAATTCTTACGATATCCACACCTCCTAGTTCACTCGCCGTCTTCTCAACTATAGATATGACGTCCGCTTCGGAGGACACATCTCCTGGTACAGCGATTGCACGTCGGCCTTTCTTTATGATTTCTTCTACAACTGCGTCAATCTGTTGTTGCTTTGAGCGTACATCGTTAATAGCAACATCAATTCCATCATCCGCAAGCCTTTTCGCAATAGCATATCCGATGCCCTGAGAGCCACCAGTGACGATTGCGACCCTCGGCGTATAGCTGCTGAATGGGACGTCTGGGACGAATGACTCCACCATTGTGGAGGGAGCGGACCTCGTTCAGTACTCATCAAAAAAAGTATAGAGTCACCTATATAAACCTAGTGGAGAGCTTTGCCGCTCGGAGCATCCTATCAATACAGCAGCAGCATTGCAGTTAAGAGCTACTATTAGGAGCAACGAAGTTCAGTTGTCGAATAGAACAAGGCCCGGTGACCAGGGCTATTTCAGTGCTTGCTAGGGTCTCGAAGCAAGACTGACAGGCTTCCCTGCAAAGAAAGCACTGCCGCTTCTCACTGAGGTCCGATAGTTAAGTGAAGATTGCGTGGAACACCCAAAGAGATACTACTCCAGATCCCCGGCTTACTCCTGAGGGGAAGAAGAGGTTAAATATGTATGTGACGTCATGAGTATAGTCTGTCGCTTCAAGAGTGTAGTGAAGCTATCCAATGTTTATCTGCAGTTGGTTGCTGGTTATTGATGTTACGGGCGAAGGCAAATGCAAGTTCAACTGCTTAGAATCAGTAGAACTGAGCCAAAGTAAACTGGAACGAGTTGAAGTCGTTGGGTATATGGGCTTCAGAAAGGTCCAAATCGAAGGAAGCAGACACTCTTCGACCGATACAATGTAGACATCTTGAACCTAGATAACGCATGAATGATCAGATATGTGCTCACCATGGAAAACTTACCAGAGAATACCCGCAGTAGCTCGGAACAATTTCCCAAGCATAGTAAGTAAGGAAAGCCAACTTCCTAACTGCAAGGTGCAGTCAGATGATGTTGACGTAGCTCGGCCGAGCCCAAGTTTTATCCAGCAAGCTCATTTTCTCATGTACACACTATGTATAATAAAAACGTCAGTTACTAAATTCATAGAAATTACGGTTGACGGGATAATTGCTGCCATCAACTTCACTGGCAAATGACGTACGGGCCCTTACTACTAATTATACCCTAGTCCTGGCTTGCAGTCGTGTTGTAAGTGCCACCTTGATCCGTATGCATGACCCATGGACAACATTACTACCCAATTTCATCCATGTCCGTTCATACTTAGTTGTGCTTAAGATTCTACAGTACGATGTATCAGGAAGGAGAGACAAGCATGAGAATTGCGGCGACACCATACCGCTCGCACGGAATCAAAACGCTTGTGACTTTCAATCACATGACCGTGACATTTCGCGACTATGCGCAAGGAGCATTTTTCGAATCGAAAGTTTAGATTTTGTCAACGTCGTGGCATGGTTAGTGGAACACCACCATGAACATTTTATAACAGTCCGCCTTCGACAAGTTCAATACTCGTTCATATTGTGTACATCGGAAATAGACAATGGCAGTCCACGTGTGCAGATTTCATTATCCAGAGTTATACCATTGAAACCAAATAAAACGAGCATGAAGTGCAGTTGATTGGAATAGGATCAAATAGATCGCAGATGGAATGGCTTTTCGAACGAAGGAGTGTTCATCAAAGCATTTGCAGGATTGGAGAATAGCACACTAACAGTCAAGACTCGAGAGGGGAAAAGTGAAAGGCACATGAAGTGAGGAAGGCTGCTATGATTTAGGCACGGAAAGCCATGAACGACGGTTTAAAAGGGATTCTCGAACGACGGAGGAAGAAGGAATTCAGAACCGAGAAATGACATATCCAGGCCTGATATTGGGAAACTGAAGTCCAGATGTAGTGCATTGAAATCCAGGTCTGTGGGAGGTATGTTACCGTCGAAGCAATAGCCAGCGTTGGAAGACACGGTAGCTGGTGTATTGTTGAAGGACGTCGGCGATCTTTTTTCGCCCGTACCCATGGTATTATTGTCCACCGGGAAATCCCAGTTGAACAAATCGGGAGGAATAGCATGCATCGCCTGCGGTGCGGGGAATGGGACTGATGCATCACTAGGCTGTGGATCACTTAGGTGAACTGGCACGTCGTAGTCAAACGATCACGACTTACTGTGACAGGAGTATAAATGATCGGTGAAGAACAGCTCTGCGGCGACAGGTGCATCGCACTCGACGTTGAAGGAGACATGTCTGTTGCATCGGACACAGCGTCCACGGCGGAAGTGGGGCTTCGTGGAAGGTAAGGAAGTGCGGTTGATATTGGTGGACTCGATTGGCACGTCTTTTTTGCCCTGCTTTTCCTCTTCTTTACAGGCACCTTGGGCCCCTCAACGTCAAACCGGACCTTCTCATCCTGTGCCTTCTTGAAGAATACCGCACGATCCGACGGTGTCAACTGCGATTTCCATACTTCCGCAACATGGCGAGATACATCATTTTGGTGAACCATGCCTGGAGGAACCTGCCCGGTTGCGATGAAATGCGACCGAAACAGGATGAATGCATTGGGTGAACGACGTTTCCTCGAGGTCGGTAGGATCGTGGATCGCTCAGGAGCAATGTCTGGTGATTGATGCACATAATCCGAAGAGCTTGAGCGGTCTCCATAGCTACGAGAATCCATTGTACCTATACTGTACTTAAGAACCGTTGCAAAGGCTCACACAGAAAAGAACACCTACCTATGTGATGGACAAAGGTCATTTCGCTATAAGCATGCTCACGGATCGGAGGCATAGTGTACAGCGTTCAAGTTCGCAAAGTCGAGATGGACTTGGGGATGCATAATGGGCTTGCACAGACGCGCTTTTGAACCTACAGGACAGAGGAAGAGTATACTCAAAGTCTGGATACTCGAAAAGGCAGGACATCGCGTTATAATCACCAGCAGGTTCACCCTCGATGAAATTCACACACGTGTTGACAGATTACATCATGCATAACAATCTAACTTACCCGTTTGGTAGGCAGCGACTCCATTGTGTACTTACTTAATTCTCAATTGTTCATAAAATCAAAACACAGCTTTCCTGGACCTCAATTTATACCATTACGACTACAATGACTTCTCCAGTGCAAATAACTCTGGGAGCTTAGTTTGCTGAAGAGCATCCACCTTTTCCGCTGACACAGGAACAAGAGGACCTCTCACTCTACCTGATCCGTACCCGAATTCCTTTACAATGATAGCCTTCAGTCCAGCGATCCCACCAATTCTCTTCACCGCCCAATCACCATGAGCAAGTAAATATTGTAACTTCAACGCCTCGTCTGTCTTTCCCTCCTTCCACAACCTGTAGACTTCGGCGTGCACTTTCGGAAGGATGTTAACGCTGGCACCGATAACTCCTGCTCCTCCGACAAGAAGCGAAGGAACGAATACGTCCGACGTCCCGGGGAACACGGCAAACTCGGACGCGGGGAAAGTTGAAGTGAGGCGAGTGAGCTTGCCAACATTTCCGCAGGACAGTTTCGTTCCGACAATGTTTGGATGAGCAGCAAGCGTTGTGAGCGTGTCTGAGTCCAGGTCTATACCTGCGGTAACGACGGGGAAGTTGTAAATCATAGTCGGGATTGGTGATCCATCTGCGACCTGTCAGTGAAAAAAATAAAAAAATTCAAACTTCAGTATCGAATCTCGATATTATTCACTTTACAGCTTGGTTGGTTAGTAGGACTGGTTCACTGACCGTACGATGAAAGAGAATAATATTCTCTTTCGTCATTTGCGGTAACCAAGTAGACGGAGTAAGCACGAGCGCATGCGAAGCTCCCGCTTCATGCGCTTCCTTACACAGCTGAATCGTCTCGCGCGTCGACTGCGCACCAGTACCAGCAATAACCAAAACACTCGTAAATCCATTCTCATTAAGCGTCTCGCGAGTCGTCCGAATAGCGAGAATCCTCTCTTCGTGAGAAAGATGTTGAGCCTCGCCATTTGATCCTTGTACTAGGATTCCCGTTACTCCGCCCTGTAAAATTTTATTATTAATCGCTTTTGTCAAGATATTAAATATAACAAACGGACCTTAGCAAGGCGAAGTACGTGAGATTTGATAGAAGGAATGTCAAGCTCGTCATTCTCGGTGAAGAAGACGACTGCAGGAACATAGATTCCTGGTGGTGGAGGCGTCGCTTTTGACATGGCTATATGCACTAGTTATTATCTATCCCTATCCGGAAAAACATATGTCTAGGTCATTTCAGTAGACCTTTTGATGCCAAACGAAAGTACAGCGAATGCTAGGCTTACTTTACCGGCGTAAGAAGCAATGTCCACGTTCGAGCCGCCCTTGGAAGATACTAGGATATCGCGGTGGCGGTGAGAAGTTTGGTTTATCAGCCTTTAATCAGTTCCGGCGGATCTACGAGTGTGAACGACCTAAAATTATCACAACAATATCTTTTCCCAAAATAAGCGCATTTTATGCACTGTGCCTTCTATATGTATCTCCCTCATCAAAAGTATCTGTGTATCAAAAGGTTTCTAAAAGTACACTGCGTCAATGTTCAGTGATCAATATCTACATTCCTAACAAATCAGAGAGTGTGCAGTTCCAGCTGTTGTACAACAATAAGATAACGCAAATTCCAATGTTCAGGTATGCGCGAAATGTCCAGATGCGATGAATAGCAAAAATAGAGTGCAAATCGGGCTCCACTCAGATCATACCAAGCAAAGCCTCCTCAACTTCACGTAGGCGCGATGCTTCCTTTTCTTTCTCCTTCTCCCGTTCCTTAACGGCCTCGTTTTCTCGCGCAATCTTGTATGTTGGAAGAGTGAACGGCTTGTAGTCTAGATGTCGCTTCACGTAAAAACACATATACACGGTTGATTTGAGTACGTCGCTAAGTGATGAATGGGCTACTCTGAGAGGTAAAATAAAATAAAAATAGGATTATCAGATAATGATTTTATTAAAATAATTGTTGTATGCTTACTTGTCGTCATCGAATCGAAACCACTAATAATTGTAATACAAAGATTAGTATAATATAAGCAAACTACGTAGGACGCAGACATACCAAATCTTGCGATCGCGCATAATTCGTATAATGTCCCGTGTCGATCTGCCCATCATGATTGACAACTGCGAAAAGGTCGTACTCGTAGAGTACGCCCGGCCCCAAACTGAAATAAAAAAGTCAAGAAGACTGCTGAACAAATTGGTTCAACAAAATCACTTACAACCGCTCCTTTTGACCCCCTTGATTCTTGATACCTATCGTCGTATATGGCAACATGTTTAATGTAGCGGGTATGCGCACATGCGTATCGATCTTTTTGGGAGTTGCCTTGCCGTTTTGACCTTCGTGCTCAAATCGCTAGGACACAGGAAAGACGTTCAGAGAAGTAGTCGCTATTCTCTAGCTTTAAGGCGCATACCTTGAACTGTATACTCAATACCGGTGGTAGTTTGCGAATAGACAGTCGCTTTGTCGCTTGCTGGTGAAACTAAATTAGCATCATGGATAACGACCTGAAGCATCACTCATACTTGCGGCCCACATCGGTTACAGCTATATTTCGTCATTGTCTCTGGATGCGTAAATCTGTGATAAAAGCAAATGGTCATGACATGCACATCAACGGAAGCAATACGACAAAAGACTAACCTGCGGAGGCACTCGGCTAGCGTGTCCTCCTCAACACCGTTACCTTTCAACTGCATACTGATATCTAGAATCGGGTCAATTTTGCTGGAAGTACTGCCGCATTTGCCGCATGTGTGATCGCTCTGCAGCTGTCCACCAAAGACGGCATGTACAACGCAGTTACACGAAATACTCGTGTTCCCGTACGCACTCTTGTGCAAGTGGTTTAGAGCGGATATGAAGAACTCATGCGCATCTTGTTGTGAATAACCTGCAAGTTCGGGAGATGCCTTCCACGTCGTGGCAAGCAAGGTCGCAGGACCAAAGGGCACTGTCTTTCCCGAGTAAACCTAACATCGTAACCGTAAGAGATTTACAAGTATTTGGAAAAGGATGGCAGCCACGCACTTCCGAGAACAGCTTGTCAAGTTCGCAACACATACACTCCTTGATTTTACACGCTTTGCTATTGTGCATGTCACTTAAGAAGTAATTGCGGAGCATGGGATTGTGCAAGAAAGACTGGAGAATGACGTTCAAGAAGCATGTCTGCCCCAGATTAAGAAGTCCTATCCGACCTAATCGGAGGTTAGAATGTCCTATTTTCACGTAGGTATACACCCGGGGCACTTACCGCTGCATGCCACCTGAGTTGCGCTTGAAAGTGCAGCCTCGTCCTTTGCTTCCGGCTGCCATGGTTTGTAAGTTTCTCGCCTCTTTCGTTGCGCTGATAGAAAGCGGTCAGTTGTGTGTGTCGGGTTTGAGAATAGAGAAGACTAACAGACAAACGTGGTTTCCTTCTCTTCCACGTGAAGCGTAGTTGCATGAAAGAGCTCTTCAAATGTATCGTCTGCGATCATGTCGTCGCATTCTATGCAGAAGACCGAACCAGTCTTAACGTCAGCACCTACGGGGGCATGTTCAGACACGGCACGCGAAAGAAACAGAATGAAAGCGCACAGAATTGATGATTCAGATCCTTCATATGCGCAAGAATGTGGCTGTCCTTCCAACATCCTCCGTATGAGCAATGTAGGCATATAAATGGTCGGTGCAGGACAAGTCCGCATGTCCCACACGTCGGAGTTTGCAACTAGAAAACAAACTTCTTTTAGCACCCAAATCTATCCACCACTTAATAGCATAAATATGGCACACACCTTTCGCCGTTTCGCCGCCCGTCTACTACTCGATGCACCCCATGCAACAGCTGATTTATACTTACGCAACATAGACAGACGCGCTGCTTCCACCGAAAACGCACCGTCGATATGAGGACACCGGGCATCAGCCACGCTCTCTCCAGACGTGTTGGCGTCGATATCCATGGCGGCTGTTGCTGTGAGCGGGGAGGACATGGAGACGTCCATGGCTACTGGACCAGGACAATAAGTAGATACCCTAGCGGTTTTGCCACAGAGAAGCAGAAGCAGAGCTGTACGTGCACGTGATATTTTTACGTACGACGATCAGGGTGATCCGTCGACTGCCGCGCCACCTCGCGCTTTGCGTCTCACTCGCGTTTCCCTGCACGAGTCTCGACAACTGCTCTGCTATCCCTCCTTATCTCACGCTGTATCAATAGCACGTATATATCTATTATTTCATTCATTTAATATCTGAAGACATTTGTCACGATGCGATTTCGTGCCAATATTGATCATGTCCAGACCTTCCAACGTGCGTCCATCTAGTTTGCATTGCGTTGGACGCGTTTCTCACTCAAATAACGCGCATTTTTATCCAGGAATTATCCAAGCCATTGAAAAGTTACAGAAGCGATGCATTGTACGGTTTACCGAGTCAGAAATGCATATCATCTGCAACGAAGAGACCGAAGATGGTGTGCAAGTATGGTCGTAAGTAGGCACATTCCTTACTATAAATCATAACACCGTTCTGATTGAGGAAATAGAACGATAAAAGTTGTGCGTGACTCTTCTGGAGAGCCCTTCCGCAACAAGAATCTCATGCGTAGCAGGACTCCCTCTTTACAGACTATCGCATCCAATCAAATGCAAATAACGAAATCAGTCTCCTTCTCTCTCCCGAGGCTCTCCTACAAGCTCTGCGCTCAGCAGCATCCTCTTCCGATGTCGTGATGAAGCTCGCGAAGAAACACGCCCATCCTGTGCTATCATTTGAGATCGTACTTGCACTTAGTGGTGCCGGACTTGGTTCGTTTGGCGCTCCAGGAGGAACGCGACGCGCGAGTGTCGCACACGACGTGTTAATCGACGTGCTGAAACCTGCTGAGATGGCGAGGTTGAAGGAACCGTTGTGCCCTGAACCGGATGTACGTTGCCTATTCATCTATTTTCCTTCATTCGATTACCCTGTTGACAAGAATGAATGGGACTAAATTATCCAGATCCACATTCTCTTACCTCCTTTACAGAAACTACGAACCGTCGTAGAAAGAATGCGCTCAATGGCAGACGTTCTCGGCATCTACGCAAATCACAAGGGAGGTCTCCGACTCACCGTCGAATCCGATCAAGTACGCGTCAAGACGGAGTGGTCAAAATGTATCATCCCGAACATGGGTTAGTAATATCTTCTTCCCTCGGCCTGTCGTTCCGCATGAACTAAATATCACATCCAATACGAACAAGCTTCACAAGCTACCAACACGCAAACGGTTACGCAAGATTCAGAGCGGTCGCGTGATGAACCAGAACCGGATCCGGACCAATGGTTCGGCGTGCATCTCTCGATTCGCGCGTTCCTCAAGTTCCTCTCCAGCCACGTTGTCTCCACAACGACTATCGCATGTGCGTTCTCATTCGCTCAATACTATCTTCTTATCTTTCACACACGCAATACTGAACTTTATCATGATACTTGCAGGTATATGCGAAGATCATTGCATGATTCTGTACGTCTACATTGGAGATGTCCAGGACGCAGGCGGCGTGCTCACATTTTGGATTCCTGCGCGACTCAGTGGTGTAGATTAGATTAGAATGGTGGTGTATGTATAATACAGATGAGGATGAGTACAACGGATACGAGAATATTCTTGACTGTCCTTCTTCTCTGCCGACCTACTCGGAACCAGCATGAGACGCTGCTTGCTTCGGCCGTCCAGTACCGCTACAATACTACCCTATCACCTTTGGCGTGCGGTTCCGAACGAAGCACGTATCCTAATCTACTCTCCGAACTAGTGTAAATCCGAGGTGTCGTGTACCGAGGAAGAGAGAAACGAGGATGTAATTGAAACCATCAAAGACCCAAGAAACGAGGACGAACAAGAAATACAAGATACCCAATTCTAAGTCGATAGAAATGCAACAGGTCGCTCCTCACAGGCGCGTATAACCTTGAAGTTGAACTGTGGCGCGATTGGCTGTCGTTACTCTCACTCGTCTGTACGTCCAATTCCCGAATGTGAACCAGCACTTCGCGAACCAGCTACCGTAAAAAAAGAAAAGAACAAATTTCAGCTCTCGTAAACCCGTCTCCCGTCTTCCGAGCCGAGAGCTTGGAGCAGTGTATCGGCGGGTAATCCTAGACTCCTAGTTATCCGCCGAAGGTAATTGCTACGAATCCTCGTCAAAAATATGCGGCAGATCTTCCACTTTGACCACGAATACACCCGCTTCCTCCAACTCGCTCTCGATCTCCTTCTCGACCTTATGTGCGGGTGTGATAAGCACAGGTCCGGATGCAGAGTACGCCTCGGGGCGATCGTACGTTGCGTGTGCGTCCTCGACGAGAAAGACCGTGTTCCCGCGTCCAAGCGCCGCGCTACACGTCGCACGGATGCAGAAGTCGCTCTGCATACCGACGACGACAAGCGCGGCCTTACGATCGACGAGCTCTGCAAGGCGCGTACCAGCGAACGCGTTATTCTTCGTCTTGTCGATGACAGGCTCACCAGCGCGGGGTGGGTGCACGAGTTGCCAACCGGGTGTTCCCGGTGCATCCGGATCGCCAGACTCGCCAGTGTTTCGCACGTGCACGATAAGTGGTGGGTGGGGCGCAGATCTGGCAAGTCTCAGAATGCGTTCGATGTTAGCGCCGACGGTGCTTGCGTTGGGTACACCGCCGCCGTGCTGTGCGAGCATGTTGACCTGGACATCGACGAGGAGGAGGACCTTGCGCGGGTGGACTGACGGCGCGGTGCTCGGAACGTCGGCCATGTGGGAATCGGACCGCGTAGCGAATCGGCTCGGCTGCTGGTGGAGTCTCGGAATTCGATTATTTGTTAATTTCTCGGGTGTAGGTAGAACCAGCCAGAGACCGATTGCTTTGCGGAAATGTGGGCGATGGACGCGATGGCGCGTCTATGCCGGCAGTGACTCTCTGTGCGGGGGTGGGGCAGCCAGGTAGCTAGAGAGCTAGTGCAGGTGTCTTGGAAGGCTCTCGAAGGTGTGTGCGGAAGGAGATGACGCAGAGTGTATGGAAACGTGTCTTTATAGATATTTCGTTACAATTTATACTACTGTCTTCTCTTTGGCTCATGGGTCATGGCCCGATTCCGGTCTGCCTGCCTGCTGCGACTCACTTCACTCAGCGCCCCGTCTTCTGTGTCCGCGTCCTATTATGTTCCGCCCTTTATGAAATCGATGTTTCGACCCCTACCTCCCGTGATTTCCGTTAGCACGCCGACACCTCGTTCAAGCGCAAATGTGGGAGATTGTATCAACCCCCAATCGCTCCGCAGTACGCCGCTGACACCGAAGTCCGGGAACGTGCATTGTCCTCGGCCTACCAATTGAACAAAACATATTACTGACTCGGACTGTTTATGCGTGAATATTCTCGCATACATCAGCGCCGCCTACGTAGTGGTCCTGCGTCTTCAGAAGTCTTCTTCTTGCCAGACTTGTGATATGGAACGTTGCACACTCACCGTATGTGCTGGCCTTCCAATCAAACGTTCTCCGCGCACTACGGCCGTAGTGTTGTCAGGAGACTTGATCGCTCTTAAGCCCTGTGAGTAATGAGGAGTTTATAGACACTAGTAGTACTAGTCTCTCGTACCATTCAAGAGTGTAAAAGCTACGTCTGGACTTTGACGGATACTAGGTGAATGCTTTGAATATGCATACAATATCTGTTTCCGTAAAGAGGACTCGCAGATCATTCCATATGATAGGCGCATTAATGTCTATTGATGGTCTGGACTTGTCGGACGGAGGCGCCTTTCATTCGGAAGAATAATGTATTATCATACAGGTATTATGACACGTACATAGGCATACACAGGTGGCGTGCTTCTTGTCAATGTCATTGTCAAGCTTCCGCTTCTGCTCTTCTGAGCCTATCAGCCTCAACTTTATGCCGTCATCCGTTTATTCGTACCGGACGCTCGATCGATTAGTGGGGGGGTGGGGATAAGACTCAAGAGAACTCATTGGTGGTAGACTGGTAGTTAGTTGAAAGTTTTGAAGCGTCAATGAATATGATTCTATCCGTGTGGATGAATCGGCATAAACCATGGCCTGTGAAGGGCCCTATTTATAAAAATATCATACGCCATTCCTCTGAGTCTGAGCTCTATTTCTATGCTACAAATTAGAGTACGAGTGGAAACTCCCGAGAGCCTGTGGGAAACTAGTTTTCCACAGGTCATTTTGCTGGGCCTCTGGAGGCGTGGTAAACCTCGCGTGGACAACACTTAGTCAGTATATTAGTAATATCATTATAATGTTCCAAAAAGGAAATTTTAAAGAATTTTGTGCTGTACCTCTATTGAGCTGAAAATTTAGGTGTAATATTAATTTCAGACATTGGTTATACTGCTGAGAGCAATTATATTGTGTTTTATAGTCTACCAGTGTTGAAACCTATATAATAAATAGATATATCTAAGAGAAATAAAAAGAAAGAGGCAACCAGTTATATTGACCAGGCTTTATTATTGTTCAAAATCTGTAAATCATCCGAAGAGGTACTGGAAATATTGTCCACATCTATCACTTGTACCTCTCTAGTTTTATCAGAGTGTACTCCTTCAAATGAAGGAGTATCTGAAAGAATGTCAGGCAAAGTAGGAGATGTTGATCTAATAAAATGACAGACATAGAGTATATACACTCTCAAACTATCTATTTTCCTTGCTTTTCGTCAGGTTGAGGCATTTTTTCTTAATTTATCTACTGACATAATATTATGTATGACTAATACATTTGAGTTTTCCACAGGCCAATTTCCGGCAACCCTTGTGGTAGTGAGGTTTACCTCGTGGGAAACCTCTGTGGTAATCCTCAATGTGGGAAACTAGGGAGTTTCCACTCGTACTCTACTACAAATGAGCAAGCTACTATAATTTGTGTTATTTATGCCTTTTACGTAATCAGTACCTCCAATTATCGTCGCGTCGCGTCGATCCTGCTACAGCCGATTCAAGTCGAGGATCTACTACTCCACGTCTACCTGACTACGCCCCATCCACGTATCGTTCTTTCTCTCTGAGTCTCTCCAACAAACTTCACCATTTACCCCTCGCAATGACACCAAAACACCAAGCCATCAAACCCCATGCGCTGAAAGTACCAGGACTAGTCAAGCTCAGCGGGAAACGTGTTGTACTTGCTTCTGCGAGTCCAAGGCGGAAAGAGATACTCGCTAATTTTGTATGTCTCTTTCAACTCAACAACAACGTGCTTTTACATGCAAGCTGAATAATTAATATCGTTTTTTCTATATCATCTTTATGTTCATAAATGACGTTGTGTATGAAGGGTATCGAGCCTGAAATAATACCTTCGACATTCGAAGAGACCTTACCGCAAAGTTCGTTCGAGGACGTGCATGAATATCCGGTGGCTACGGCAACTCAGAAAGCTGTAGAGGTGTACGAACGTCTCGTGGTCAGTATCTTACTTTTAAGCCTTATCCGTGGATATAATAATCAAGCTAAACTATGTATTAGGCAGAAAACCCGGACGACCCGCCCGACCTCGTCATTGGAGGTGTGTATGCGCATATATTCCATACTACCTATACTCTAAATCTTCTCACTTATCATTATCGATTATGTTGATATTGCATAGCGGATACGATCGTCCTCACACACATCCCGCCTGCACAATCCGACCTGCATAGCTCGTTACTCCCATCTTCAAGACCCGAAATACTAGAAAAACCAATCTCGAAGGCGGATAACCTACGCATGTTACTCGACCTTAACGGTGCGGTTTGTGAAGTCGTTACGGGCGTTTCATTAGGCATGGTCTATTCTCTCGCACCCTATGTGCATTTAATCGAATTAGATTGTATGCTAATTAATCTGGTGTTCCTTGTAGTATACCCAATCCTCGCAGCTCCAGGATATCAAATAAAGCACGTCCTCTCCCCTTGTCGCTCCTCCTTTCTTTTCGACTAACCATCCCCTTTCTTTTCCTCTCCATACGTGTGACAGATCAATAGACGAACGCACAATAGTCCACTTCGCCGACTCCCCCACACACGTACTCGAAGCCTACGCAGACAGCGGCGAAGGCCTCGACCGTGCAGGCGGGTTCGCAGTCCAAGGTCTCGGTGGAGTTCTCGTAAGAAAGGTTGATGGGGATTATAATAACGTTGTGGGGTTTCCTGCAGCTTCATTTTTGAAGTTTTTGGATTCGTTGGTTGAGGAGGAGGATGGGTTCTTGGATGTTTAAGACGAATGTGGATAGGGGAGAGTGAGCGTTTGTACGTTTAGGTGTTCGGTGGATTATGAATGAATGGGCATTTAGACTAGCTCTTATGAGATGTTGTTTAGCGTTGTAGCGTTAGTAGACAGTTGAACGTCTTCTCTTTCTCGCAGTTCAGGCAGATAAAAATAATAAAAGAAAGAAAAATGCATATTACACCAAATCCCATCCACACATCAACAAAAACATAACCAACCAACCAACACTAACTAACTAACATAAAAAAAGAAACAAACCACCATTAAAAATCAATCCATTTTCTTCTCATCCTTCCCACTATCTCTCCTCGGCGGTGCAGGTGCAGTAGGACCAAAACTCCCAGTCGGCGGTGACCGCAGATTCGGAGAGGCAGGGAACCCACTAGAGGGTGTAGGTGCGTATGGGTTCGGTGTAGGTGGGAGTACACCACCTTGGAGGTGTTGTTGCTGTTGCACAGCGAAGGATTGGATACCTCCGCTTGTTCCAGCTGAGAACATCGCTGCTGAACCAGGTGTGGAGTTTAGGCCGAGTCCGTACGGCCCTCCATTAGCACCTGTTGCACTTCCCGGAGCTCGGGCGTACGGAGATTGTGCAGTAGCGGGTGAGTACAGTCCAGGTGTATTTAAGGTACTCCCTCCACCTCCTCCACCGGAACTAAACGGAGCGGGATTAGGAGAAAACGCACTCCCCACAGGTGTACTAGCATAACTCCCATACGGCGACCCACCATCCACAACCCAACCATTTCCTTGTCTCGCCACTCTCGCTCGAAGCTCTCCGCCTCCCCATTTTCTTTTCGTTGATGCACCGGTAGCTTCAGCTGCTACGATCCCTGGTGCGCGGTCTGCTCCTGAGACGACGTCGATTGCTTTTGAGGAGATGCGGAACGCCCAGCCTGCGCAGCACCATACACCGCCGACCACACCAACAACTCTGTACGAGAGCAGAGTAGATTAGTTAGTACTCGAGCAAATCAAAATACGTATATAAAAGGAGAGAACAATACGAACCGAATAAGAAACTGAACAAGCGTCGTCGTTTTTTGGTGTATCGTCATCTGCAGCGGCTCCAAGTCATATTTGAAGAAGATACCCGGTGTGCCTTGTTCGTGCTGTAAAACGCGAGTGTAGTGCGTTACACTGTATTGGCTCGTATGTACTTGCTTGCCATTGGAGGCTATGTACGTTGTAGGTACGACGCTCAGGAAATATTGGTATGCAATGAAGGCTAAGTGAATTAATATTTAGCTTTTTGGGACGGTAAGATGGATTCCGGTAAAACTTACGCTCATGGGTGAGTTCGAATGTGTTTTTCAGAGGTTGAGCCATGTCTGGGAAGTACGGCCCAAATGAAAAATCGGTAATAACATGCGACAGGTTCATCTCTGTAGCGTAGCAAATCAGGTAGCTGTACAAAACTTATTATTAGTGGAACTTACGTGAGTGGTCGACATGATGCATACTGCGATATCCATGCCCAGCAGTCGTAATATGAAGGTTTGCTATATGATTTCGTTAGATCGAGTTTATTTACAAATTACTCACTAGAACCTACCAGTAACTTTTTTCGCCTGTATACTCCCGTATACACGACACGCACCGCCGTCTGGCTTGTAATTATACGTCGGCCGGAATTTATCCTTGTTTCTTCTCAAAATTGTATCGAAGAAACCACGGGATTTGCGGGCTTGCGCCACGGCCAGCCTGGCGTCGAGTGCTTGTGTATGTGACCTATGAAGCCGTAAGTGGCGAGGAAATGCGATATTTGGCAAAGTTACATACTGTAATGCTTGTGCTTGGCCAATGTCAAATAATGTCTGCGGAGTACAGTTAAGACGCGAAGAATTCGGTATATAGTTCGCGTGAGTACTTACCCCATCGCGTTTGAATCCGTCACTAAGATACAGCCGGTCGCCTACGGCGTCACGTAAGTCGACACTCAAATCTACACAAAACATAAGCTCTCATAACTCGTAAAGCGGGAAACCGAATGCACATACGTTTGCAAGGCATATTAACGACGAGATCGACATTAATGGCGAGGTAGTGCCCTGGCCTGTTGTCCAGACCAAATTTATAGGTCGGCCAGCCAAAAATGTATTCGCCAATATCATTTACGACGAGCAGGAAAGAGATGAAAGCGACGAGAACTGTGAGGAAGCCGCGTCCGCCGGAGCGAGCCTTGTAGGTGGAAGGCAGTTTCGGGAAGGCATCGAACTGGTTGAGAGCTGCGGGAGCGATCTTGTCGAGCTTGTCGAGGATGGACTCGTCTGTCGGTGAGACCGACATTGTAGAGTCAAGACCGTCTGGCCCGTGGAGGAGAGGGAGAGCAAGGAGGTATGAAGCCCTTGACTTTGAAACAGAAGTAGAGATGAGTAGTGTACCGTTGCTGCCAGCAATCACCGCAAGTCACGCGTCGGAAGGCTAAAACGTGGCACTCAGGCAGGACGATCTCATTACCTTATATGGGCATGTACACAAAAAGATGTCTCCGTAATCCGAAATATAACCGCTCTCTCCTTTCGGCGTCACTCAATCAACCTGGCGGTGGCCACTAAGCAGCAACATGGACAGCTCGCCTCTCAGCACTGCACCACCAACTCCGACAGACCCTCTCGGTGCGCCTCTACCGCTTCCAACCACACTTGGCTCCCACCTCCTTGGTCCACGTTATCTGCGGTCCGCATCGCGCTCTTCCACACTCAGCTCACGATCATCGAGTCGTGCGCGTCCGTCTGAAGGCATCTCAAGTCTCGAAAGTCTTTCAAGCTTTGACAGTGGTACAATGGATCATTTTTCAGCAGGCGATTCGTTCGTATCGATCCCTCTTGAGGGACCCTCGGGAACCAACAGTGATGCCGGTCCTGCAAGCACTAGTGCTGGGTCGTCTAATCCGCCGTCTCTTATGGATAGGGTGCTTACCCCGCCGGTGCAACGATCCAGAAGGCGACGAAGAGGCTACAGTATTCACGACGAGATTGATGCTGCTGTGCAAGATGTTCCCGTTCCGCTGTCCACTCCCGCACATCCCACCGATAGTCCAGCTTTAGACGATACACGACCTCCTAGGAAAAAGAGACGGATCACGAACGCAAAAAAGGCGACTAAGCGGAGGAATTCTCGGAATACCACTGCCAACGCGAACAATGCAGAGGCTGGTCGGTCGATCTTGCCATCGACTCAAACGCGAGATACTTCATCGTCGGAACTGGATGTGATCGTCCAGCTGCCAGACGTGAACATCGAGGACGAAGGCACTGAGGTGAAAATAGAAACTCCATCCTCACCACCACCAATCGCGCCTACTTCCAATGCACTGGCCGTGCCTCCTATCTCTTCGGAACCTCTATCCGAATACTCGTGCCCGATTTGTTTCTCGCCTCCGATGAACGCAACTCTTACGCCTTGTGGACATATTTGCTGCGGTGAATGCCTCTTCACTGCCGTACGGTCGACAATGCAGCGTGCAACCGCTAATATGGGATATCCTCGCGAACCAGTTGTCGCACGGTATGTCATTTTCTTGAGTTTACTGACTGAGCATTTCTAATTTCGCCTTTTATTTTAGGTGTCCAGTGTGTCGTGTAACTCTAACTGGTTGGGACGGGCGAGGGGGCGGCGTCATAGGACTCAAACCACGAACTGTCATTTCATTATAACCACCCAGTGCATTTTTGACTAGCATCAACACGTTTTGTAGTCTATCTGGCATTTTGTATACATAAAGCAAGTCAATCATCCAATAACCCGGGTCTTTGTTCCCAAAAACCATCTCCTATGAGATCTTCGTGTAACACGCGGAGAGTCGATCTAGGCCTTTTCTTCGCCGAGCGATATTTCGAGCTTGGATCTGCAGATGCATCATCCATCGGCGCATCTGGTGCTGCTTCCTGTGCAGCGGTTGTAACTGATGTGGGTGAAGATGATGGGGGATCTACGCTCGCTTCGGGATTGACCTTTAGAAATTGGAGTTAAGAATTATGAGAAATTGCATCATCATCATGAGCTGCAAATGAAGGGGGATCACCTCGCGTACGATGATGCTTCCTTTACGAAACTGAGGCTCAATGTTATTGTAGTTGATGCCGAAACGGGAGAAGAGTATTTCGTGCTTCTGACTAGAAACAGTTCCCTAATCAAATCGTAAAGAAAAGAAAAGAATAAACGTTAGAATTTTTGGAACGCATTTGAAAGCTTACTCGGAGTGTTGCATGTGCTTCAGTTGTCGTCTGTCCACCTTGTTTGACAAGAGCCCAGAAAACCGTGTTGTAGAGGTTATTTATATGCGCTTTTAAAAAAAGTGCACCCCGAAGTTTTCGGAATTAATATTAGTTAAGGTTAAGCGAGGGGAATCCGGAAAATGGAAACGGAACGTACTGTCGGCCTGGCGCCACGAGAAATAATCGCGCACCTCGCGCGAGGTAGGGTAAAGTACTATTCGACCATCAAAGGTTGGCGGGTATTGTAGAGGTGTATCGGGGAAATGATTGTGCCAGTTGAATATGTAGGCAGCTGTGAAGTGGGAGACGAGTGTTGTGAGGATCTTGGATTCGCGTCTGTTGTATAGCTGCGTTGATCGTCGAAGTAAGAAGCTGCAGAATACCAATGGAAGTTAAAATATCTTGATATTATGTACAGGAGGAAGGAGGGGATCCGACCTGTATTCGTCCGACTCGCCGAAACCGAGGACGATATCCTTGTATTCATTCATTACAGCGTATGCAGCGGTGTCCATTAAGCGCAGGCCGCGCACATCGTTCGGTTTCTCGAAGCCATGAATGTCCGAAAAGCTAATGTGCGCTTGATGTTGTCATTTTTATTGCCCGGGCCCACGAGGCGGGATGTGAGCTCACCGATGGAAGGCGTGTCCGTCCACGCGGCATACGATGAAGGTATTCGGCAGGAGCGGGTCGGGGCGCTCGAATGCCCTGACATAGGCGTATTTTGTGCCTGCCATACCTGCGCACTGTCTCTGTTGTCTCAGCCTCGCTGTCCAGCGCATTACTCGATCGAGGAGTATGGAAGTAGCGAGATAAATAGGGAGACGCACGGCAAGTTCCGAGGGAGTCATGCTCCAGTCGTACCTAAAGCGCACCCTCTCGTCTTTCACTCTCTCTTCTCTCTCTCTTACCACGATCATCACTGCCGCACGCGCCAAATCTTACCGTCTCCTATATAGATACTCGCTACTCACTTCACATTTTTGCGCCTTGACACACAATGAGCAACGCCGCTTCGACATTCCGCCGCCGTCTCGGCCGTGCCCCCTCCCCGCCGACCTGGCTCTGGTACGAGCAGATCCCGTACGACGAGGACTCGAGTTGCTCCGAAGATGATGCCTCCGTTGATGGCGGCGACTACGATGACGAGCATGACAACTCGTGCTCGGAAGACGATGAGGACTACTCCCATGCGCATAGAGCGCGGTCGGAACGAGGCGGCGCTCCCGCGGCACCTGCCAGCGAATCCGGTTCCTCAAATGGCGACTCGGCTTCCGGCTCAGATGAGGCGGGTAGAGGCGCCCACATGGCACAGCAGGACCGCCTGCGTGCGTCGGACGGCAGTTGCCCGAAGGACTCGATGGTTGCTGAGAGGGGCTGCGCTGACGACGATGACCATGATGGCGTGGGAACCGGTGGCGAGGGTGTCAAGAAGGACGTGAAGGGCAAGCAGCGCGCTGTTGAGCCTGAAGTCAGCGAGAGTCCGAAGCGCCGCGAGCGTAGGAAGAAGCGTGAGCCGGTGTTCGCGCTCCGGCCTATTTTGACTATTCAGAAGAGTCAGGGCTTCGTCTGGAATCAGGTATCTTTTTTTCTTGAAGCCTTGCGTACTTGTTTATTTAGAGTCAGTACTGAACACTCGTCGGGCTAGGATCTATTTGTCCCGCCATACATCAAGGATCGCTGTACGTTTTGTTCTAACCTGGTCTTGTAACGATGCTCACTATAGCCTCCTGATTGTCCTTCTCATCTTATTTTCTCCGGCTTATCTCCTGACGGCTGTGTGACACTGTAGATGTTGCGTCTACCTCTCCAGCGAATTCGAACGGCTGCATTTCACACTGCGCATCGTCGTACAATTCGATGCAAGATTACGAAGTCGATGTCGTCGAGATACGTGTCGAGGAGGGCGAGTATGCTGATATCATTTCGTAACTAGCTCTATGGTTTTGGCACCGTCGCTCCCGCATGTTTCAACAACACAAGCACAGCACAAACATAGAGGGATACCTTGCACCACTAGCTTCCTACATTTGCGTGCGGACCCTTCTTCTGACCTCCTGTCGATTTCGATTAATTCATCATCTCACGCCGACCCACCTTCGACCGCCCTTAACGAGTTCATAGCGTCTCTTTGTTTTACTAGTCTTCGTTCTCTCTTATTACGAGCATGTTAAATAGGAACAACATATATATTCCGTCAATAAAGAATCCGATAAGTTTTGCGAGTTACCTGGGTCTGTCGATAACAGCGAGTGTTAAGAGGGACCCACAAAGTGTCGTAGGGTTTGTATCACGTGCAAAATGACGTACTCCTTCCATTGAGCTGAATCACTTCGGACCGCTCATCCAGCGCTGGTTACCCACTTGCTGCGCCCACAGCGACTTGCCTGCCGTCCACAACGATGGGCTTCCGGGACTACGTAGCAGCGGTGCTTGCCTTCAAAACAATTCCGGTGATGGTTGTTACTGTTGTCGTTTATGCTGCGATCTATCTCTCCATAGCCATTCTTGATGATCTACCGTCTGTTCCGTCGGCGAGAAACCAACTTGGATTGAATGTTGATCAGGCGTATGCTGATCTGCATAAAGTGGGTTGACGATTCCCATTTGCATATTGAGTTGGTTTGGGGTACTTACGTTGTTTTTGCACGTTCGAACAAGATTGCCGGACTTCCTCACCCGTACAACTCACACCAAAACGACGTCGTACGGGAATATATTCTCGATCGCGTACAAGACATAGCCTCCCACTCATCCTTCGTCACAATCGACGACGACCTCACGTCCAACGTAACGTTCGGACAAACATGGGGATCTGACGGTGGACTAGCAGCGTACTTCGAAGGGTCGAACATTCTTGTGAAGGTAAATGGGAGACTACCGCAATTGGATGGAGTTTTGTTTTCAGCGCATTTTGATTCGGTGTCGACTGCGCCGGGGGCGACGGATGATGGGATGGGAGTGGCTACGTTGATTGCGCTTGTGGAGCATTTCTCGAAGAAAGGGAATCAGCCGAAGAGGACGGTTGTGTTTAATATTAATAATGCGGAGGAGGATGGGTTGTATGGAGCGCATGCGTGAGTACAGTTGAGTTTGTGTCGGTTTATAGAGTGATTTGTTGAATATGTTTATAGCTTCCTTGAGCATCCTTGGTTTAACCTTACTGGTGACTTCGTGAACCTCGAAGGTGCAGGTGCCGGCGGGTGAATTATCTCTTCTTTTACGTTTTTGTGATTCTTGGAAGCTCATTGTGACGTAGCCGGCCCCTACTACTCCGGACAACATCCACCCGACTCGCAAAATCCTGGAAGCACGTCGCTCATCCGCATGGTGTTGTCATAAGCGCAGACGCGTTTAACCGTGGTCTCGTACGGAGTGGAACTGATTACACCGTATACACTGCGGCAGGGCATGGAGGCATTGACTTTGCATTCTACCGGCAACGTAGTAAATATCATACGAAGGAGGATGCTATCCCTTCACTTGGAGGAAAAGCTGCATTGTGGAATATGATGGAGTCAACTCTACTTGCTAGTCTTGCACTTGTAAACGATGCGAATAGCGATATAGGGTCAAAGAACTCGCCAGTTTATTTTGACTGTATGTTTCTCTCGCACAAATGATGTGTTATTCATTACTGACTGAGTGTTGTTAGTGTTCGGAGAAGCGTTTGTCACCGCATCACTCAAGACATTCTACATCTTAAACATAGTCATGCTCGTAGTCGGACCTTTGCTAGTAGGATCGTTAGTTTTCACTGTGTACAAGATGAAGAAACTGTATTGGTCGCCAAGGGGCTGGGGACGTACCCTTATTTCTATTATTATTGGTGGCGGCCTGTCAATCGGACTTGGAATGATCTACGTACGCGTAAATCCTTTTGTAAGTTTAGCATTCATTTCCTTGGCTTCTCTTCCTTTCTACAAATAGCTGAAACGCGCCTTATGAAGATCGCCTACTCCTCTGCTACAGCTGTGTTCATCTCGACTCTTTCACTAAGTCTTCTCTCGGCTTATGTCGTTTTGGAGATATTCGCGTATTTCCTTCCGGTTCCGCAACAGAAGTCGATGGCGTTGGTCGAATGCTATATTTTCTGGTGGATTCTCCTTGTGGTGGCTACCGTGCTTGTTGATAAAAGGCGTATTGCGGGCATGTACTTCGTGACGTTCTTCCATGCGAGCACGTTAGCTGCGCTATTACTTGGCTTCATCGAACACTTTACATTACCAAGTGCGCAGGAAGGCAGTAGTCGAAATGCTACAGCTGCAGTTAACGACGACGATGATGGGAATGATGGAGCTGAACCCGAGGAGTCGACTGAACGTACGCCATTGCTAGGCGAAAATGGTCTGGCGATCAGGAAAAGCGAGATTGATGAAGATAACGTTATTGGATTATGGTTCTTGCAGTACTTGCTTGCTGTGCCCTTCCCTGTCATCTTGATCACGCAGCTCGGTGTTATGTTGATGAACGCGCTCCCTCAGACGTTAGCGGATGGTAGTCCGGCAAAGACGATCTACCTCAGTATCTCGATCATCTCGATATTGAGCTTCGTCCCCCTCCTTCCTTTCGTACACAAACTACATCGGACGATACCCTATGCACTTGTCGTCGTGCTGATAGTCACCATCCTATACAACGTCTTCGCGTTCCCCTTCTCCGAAAACTCCCCCTTCAAAATCTTCTTCCAACAAACTATCGATCTGGAATCGGGAGAGAACACAGTTCGGTTGAGTGGTATGGAACCTTGGTTGTCGAGATGGATTGTTCCTGAGGTACCTTCTTCGTGGGGCTCAACAACAGCTGATACGTGTGGACATAAAGATGATTTGAGGTATGGGATGCCATCGTGTAGGTGGTCTGGTCTCGAACCGCATGTAGCGACGAAATCGCCCGAGAAATGGATTACGGTGAAGACGAATGGAACTGCACCGGGGATGGGAACGATCTCTATCTCGGGACTCGAAACACGCAATTGTCGGGTGTATTTCGATAAACCTGTCACTACTGTGAGCGTCCAAGGGTCTTCGGGAACTGTACAGGAAGAGTTCCCATTACCCGAAGATGGGATACGGGAATTAAGGCTCTGGAGTAGGACATGGGGGAGGACGTTTGAAGTAAGCGTCGCTTGGAACGTCGACGCTGAGGATGCCGACGGTGACAGTGATAGTGAAGAAGAAGAGAGAAATGCGGACGCACAGGCGTTGACAGGACGCGTAGCGTGTGAGTGGGCTGAGAGCGCTGGGATACCCGCACTTGAAGAGGTGGTGAGTTTCTTACCGAAGTGGGCGGGGGTGACGAAGAGGACGGATGGGTTGCTCGAAGGGTATAAGACGTTTAGGTTGAGTTGAATTGGGTTGAGTTGTGATAATAATAAATTTGATTGGACGATGTGACCAGGTTTTCTTGGTTAAGTACCCTTTTCTCGCTTTTCAGTCTGCACAAAAGAATCGTAAGTAACTATGCATGTCCATTTTTTTTTACATGTTTCATCCTTGCACAAACGTGTACTTACTTCAATTCTCATAACATTTTTTCACCCTTTTTTAAATGATGTAATGTAACAGTGTACTTTATTGTATTATAAACTAGACTTTGTTGTTGTGGGTACTGTACAAGGTAACACAAATGACATAGCAAGTGTTTCTCAGAGATGCCTTCAGCTCAGATTAAGGTCTTGAATCTAATGATTGACCAAATCCAACATATATTATATTTAGTCTTTGTGTCCTGTATACAGCAGATAGACCTCTCAAAAATATTTTGAACTGTATCCCCACATTATAAGGTAAGATAGGTTTTGATTTATAATAATAGTAATTGATTCCACGTTGTAAATGGGCTTTGTTACAAGCACTACAAAACTTCCAACCTTTCTTTATATTCTGAGATTGGACTTGCCATCAAGCGGCAGCTAAATGGTAGAGTTTCAAGGCTCAAGGTAAAAAAAGGCTAGTACCTAATGCTCTTATATATACACTTGAAATCTCTATTCAAACCTCGGTGGCTATACAGGAATATACAAAGTCCAATCAATACAAAGGTGAAGCAAAGCAACGCGCAAAGCAAGACAACAAACACATACTAGCACACACGAAAGAGATGTCGAACGAATCAAAGTAAAATACAATGTTAACCTTTCATAACCGTGACAAAACATGATCTCGTCGCTCTAGGAATTCGAAACGCTCATGCGCAACTAGGTCGTCAATATCGGTAAATGACTTGGAGCAGTGTAGCCATTTGCACTTGTAAGGTTGGGAGGGATGCTGGGCATTCCGGGGATGCGAGGGGACGTTGTCAAAATTGCCATGAAGAACGTTAGAAATCGTGACCACATCGAGTTGTCCAGCACCGTCTCCAGCGATAAGGTCCAGCACAAGGCCGACATGGCGGGCGTCTGGTCGTGCGGAAGCGTCCTTTCGCGAACAGGCCACGAGAAGCGTCCAGACTGCATCTGAGATGCAAGAGTCAGACGGCCTCTCAAAATGATCATCCCACGCATGGATCTTCATAAAAACAGCTGCATTATTCCACAATTCGGGAAATGGAGGCCTTCCAGTCAGGACCTGTATAGATTATTACGTCCGATGCAGACTTTATAGATTTCCTAAACGTACCTCAAGGATTGTCATCCCGAATGACCAGATGTCTGAAGCTGTGGTCGTTCGAACCGGTCTATCTTCTGCGGATGCCCTTACTAGTTCTGTAGCCATCCAGCGACATGAACCATTAATAGTCTGAGTGGTAAATCCCTTCGTCTCACAAATACGAGAAAGGCCAAAGTCAGCAAGGAGGGCTTGGTGGTTGTCGCTGATAAGAATATTTTGCTGTATGGGAGTAATACAGTTTGCTTCTGAGTGTTCGAGCACACAGTGAATATTTTCAAAAACATACAGCTTTGATGTCTCCGTGCACGACAGGAGGTTCAGCTGAATGGAGAGCAAACATTGCAGCTGCCGTGCCAATTAGCTTCAGGGGTATATCCATGTGAGCTTCGTCTGACCGATGTAAACCAGAAGACAATATGACTCACAATGCTCATCCGGTCAGCATCAGGATGACAGTCTATGTACTTCTTTGAATCCCCATGCGCACAGAAAGGTAGAACCAGGCCCTTGAATTCCGGATATTCAAGGATAGGGTTATCGCAGAAGCCGAGACTTCGTAAGACGTTTGGATGCGACACGCTCTGGCTAGCCATAATTTCACGTCTCCATCGCTTCAGGCATACTAGGTCATTGAAATGAACTAAGACAACAACACAAATCTACATACCTGCAAAATCTTCGTCCTAACCTGAGCACGTTCCACATCCTGACTAGACAGAATGGCGTGCAGGGCAGGAAACTTCACAGCAACCTAGATACATCTTGATGAGGATGTGGATAAAGAAGCAACGGTAATGAGCGCACGATCTGGTTTTCAGCCTGACATGAGATGAGGAGTGCTTTGTGAACTACTGCAAAGCCACCATGCGCGAAATTGATAGGGTCTAAAGCTTTGAGAAAATGTGTCAGATTCTGCATAGTAATAGCGAAAGAAAGAGGCTAGATGGGTGCTCACAGGGGAGTTGTAGGATTTCAGAATAAATAGCTGGAGTTTGTAAAGGTAGTTCGAGATGCAGTGGCGAAAGTGATGAATGTGGTAATGTGTCATTGCTTGAAACTTTAATGAAAGCCCGCTTCTCCGCGCTTAGTAATCTGCATTCCTACCGGATTTGGAAGGGTAGGTTGTCTAGTATTAACATCATTCGCCTAAGATAGTAAGGATCGACAGTTTCCCCACCGCCTTTGCGCAGCAGCACGGAGCACCCAACCCGCGCAGGTTTTCTACGAATTTTTTCAATCGCATTTGAATACTAACTACCACTGCCACCATATCTTGCCGCCTTCTTTTCCATACAATAATAATAGCTGGACACGTGCACGCATCGTTGCCTCCTCTCCTTCGCCCTGGATGCATTCGCACGTCACCCACTGTTTCGATTGAAGAGATTCGAGAATGTGATAAAAGGCGAAAAAGGAGGCATGCAGCTACTTTCGGTCGCTCGTCATGCGAAGAATCAACTCACCAATTCAACTTCCATCAGCATGCTTCGCACCGTCGCTCTCCCCCAATCACTGCCTCCTGCCAAGCGGGGTTGAAGCCCCCCGTGTCCTGACCAAGTATGGGTGAAATTTGGTGCTCTAAGTAACTGCAAATTTGAGCTCGACAGAATTAACGGATATTTTTTCATCGAGCCGTGTCCCTCTCCGATACCTGCACACCTTGATGCTCTGTACTTTCGCAGCCCACCATCGTAATATGGTCTCCACTGGTCATGAGGAGGTTCCTCGTTCAGATGACGATTTTTCCATCAGTGTACACATTCGGACCAGCTGCACAAGATAAGGATTTCCTCAGGTATGTCAAGGTTAACATCTCTCCTGGTGGGCGTGTGTTCGAAGGCTGACGAAAATTTTACGATGGAAGAAGCGTAAGCGCTCGTATCTCCACACCTTTTGTGCCCTTCAAGCACGAATATCTGTCTGCGCCACTTCTCTGCATTGTTGGTGGTAACAACTTTTGCAGCGCGCTGGGATGCTCCAGATTACGATACAGTTTTTCTAAAAAATGATAACTGAATGACCTATCCACAAGCATCATTGACGGTCCTTGGCGGACCGTCACCACTTGCTCTCTACCCAGTATTAGTCGCCGAGGCAGTGTTCGTCCTCATATGTGAAACGCTGCGAGCAAAACCGTGCTTGGATGGGTGGATCTTTGGGTACCTTGTTCCAATCAGATAGATTTAAGATATAGCTGCTTCCCTAACTCAGACGGAGAAAGCATCGTAAACCCAAATCATGGAAGAGAGTAAAACATCTCCTGCATCCAGCGTCCAGCATCCAAATCGACTCTTTATATCCTTTGAGCCTTGTCACTGCCCATGCTTTGTAATGACCGCACCCGTCTACGTCTTAGGAATGCTGGGCGCCTGACACAGTTTTGGTCTCACTTCATTGAAGCTTGGCAGGTTCCTCGGCCTCGGAATGGTTCATCAGAACGACTCAGATGTATTGCTGCTAAAAGGCTTATTCGATCCATTCACAAAGACGGTGACCAATCAGTCTCACTTTCTGCAATGCTGCAGCCAATGTAGACTATCTTTGCTAGCTTGCTCAGTTGGGATGACTCAATACAAAATCGTATTGTAAACTCAGAGGAACAAGTCTTTGCTATGTTCCAATGCTACACACCCACAACAGACTATTCTGTTACCAACAACGATTTCGATAATCATTCACCTTTCATGGACCTGAATTTCAATGTTCCATATCTTAATGCCTTATTGTCAGACATGAATATAGCATTTACAAGATTTGCAGACAGAAAATCTTTGATTCCTTAGTTGTTTGAAATACTGTCTGAGACTTGCTAGTGTCTTCAATGGCTTCTGTAAACTTGTATTGTCTACTCTGTCTGTCATGTACAATTCATATTACAGTATTTGACAAAAGTATTGTACATTAGTATTTTACAAACTTCTTTCTTTATTAAAATTATTATTATATTAGCTTATATTAAATAAATGCTGTATTATTAAAGTAGACCTTGTGTATATAATGTTAGTATAATAATTAGACTTAATACTTACTTATAATAATTAATATACTTTAATTTAAGAAAATGTGTCTGTGTATTTCTTTTAATTACTTTTAATAATTTTATTATATTACACATTTGTATTAAAAAAACTTGTTATATTAATATAGTAATTTAGTATTTAGTATACTGTAATCCTTGTCAACACTAGTGTAGTAATGTCAACCATTACACTAAAAGGCCAGTATAATCACTAATTAGTAATCCTTACTCTGTACTCTATATAAGTACATGTTATCAAATTGAGATACTGCCCCCAACAGTAGCCTTTCACATGTGGTAAGCTACCAAGCTTACATATACCCTCCTTGAGCCTTTGCTAATACATTAACTTGTCTGAGCATACTAGTATACAAACTTGTAATATACTCATTATTTATTTAATACTATTCCTCCTGTAAAATCCTCCACAGTTCATTAATGTTCCTTGGAAGTGGATTTTGAGCTTGTACTTTATTGTCAAGATAGTGCCAGACATGTTCAATAATGTTCATGTCTGGGCTTGAAGGGGCCTAATTGAGAAGTTTGATTTGTTTTTCTTGTAACTATTTTAACATTACTTAAGATTTATACTTTAGATCTCTATCCTGCTGAAAGAGAAACTTGGCACATGGAATGTTGTAGTCAGAAAGGGTGCTAAGAAGTGATTTGTTGAGGATTTGAATGTATTGGCTAGAGTCCATATTCTTTTCAATATGATGAAGACAGTTAACACTATGTATAGTAATACATTCCTAAACTATAAGATGTTCACCACTATACTTAATGACCTTCTTTACATTCTTTGCATAGAGTGACTCCCCCTCCCTCCTGTACACAATATTCCTTCCATCCTGCTTGAATAGATCGATTTTTGTCTCATCTGAGAAAATAACCTTTTCCTACTTTTTAAGAGTCTAAAACTAATATTTGCTAGCCTAATATCTCCTGCAAGTAATATGCTTCTTAGACAAGTATGGTTTAATGAGAGGGACACAGGCCACTATTCCATATCCTTTGAGAGCACAACAAATGGTTTGTACAGAATCAGACAGGAAGTACTTGCATTTAAGGTTGCTAGAATCCTTTACTTTGCCTGAAGCAAGTAAATAGACAGTATAGCATACATTATGAATGTCAAATTTGTGTGGACAGCCTGGTTTGGGTTTGACATAGTATAGGTTAGGGTTTTTGAGCAGCTTGCAGTAGTTCTGGGAGACTGTTGATGCATTACAACTGAGTTTTCATGCAATTTCAATGTTGCTCAACCCTTGACTCTTCCAGTCCAAGATATGTTGCTTTTTTGTTAGTGTAAGATATGGAGCCATTTTAGCAGATCCAGAGTAGTCTGAATTGAGTAAAAGACAGAGTATTATTGATAGTAATGGAGTACTAGTATGGCACAATGTTTTGCAGCATGGCACAACCAAAAACAAAAAAAATGCACATGACCATTTACACAATCTCACAAGTTTTCTCCTATTTTAGAATATATATAGTTATTTTTTTAACTCATTTTTTTTGCTATATTATACAGTAAATAATAGTACTTATATCTCATAATTATAGTTCTTAGTTGTCTGTATATAATCTTTTTTAATTAATAGATTAGGTCTGTGCAATACTTTTGTCAAATACTGTACTTATGTGTGTGTTGCCTCGACATGTGACCCTCTCCCGAGGCGACTGTAAGCAGAATGTATTAAATTCTTCATCCATCAGTAATGAACCGCAATATCCGTGTATGTCAACATCTACAAGTAGTGAAAGGAAATCCTCGGCAAACGCAATTCCAGTACGTGTTGTCTATTTCTATCCTCACGTTTCGAAGCACAATCAATCGAATCGGAAACCTCCGTCGGCGGTAATGGATTGTCCTTCAGAAACGCAAACATTATAAGCATCCAGAGATTACTGGCGATGATTGAACGACACTACCATTTATGAAGAAAGACTCGGGTTTCGCCAAGTACGAAATTAGGCTGGCAATGTCCTCTGGCTCCCCCAGCGGTGCATTTGCGATCGGACCGATCACATCGGCGACAGCGAACTAGAAAATCATAAGCCTACAAGTAGCGTTCATTATGATGCTTACAACCAACCTCCTTAGAGTCCATAACTCCGGTTACTTGAAGATGATTGTTAGTATGCCCGTCATGTGCGAACAAAATTAGTCAGGCAGGCCTTACAGGCTCCCGTACGGATGGTCCCGGGTGCATATGCGTTTACGGTAATGCCGTGTCTACGTAGTTCAATAGCTGATGACACAGAAAATGGACGAGCAGTCAACTGCATCAAGACACTGGAAAAGGTAAGGAGGAATGAAGGACTCACATGCAGTCTGTACTATACCACGCACAGCAAACTTAGAAGCAACATAAGCAACCAGGTTTTGCTGTCCTATATAATTCACTACAGTCAGATAGACGACAGGTCGCAAGATTGTTTCTGTAACCTTGTTTCCCTAATATAGAGCTTGCTCCTGCACACACGGATCATTATTAGCTTGGAATATTGGCTGAAACGTTAGATTAGGAAGGACAAACCTATTAGCCTTCCGCCGCGACCTTGCTTTACCATCTGCACAGCGGCATATTTGAAACACATGAAAACGCCGCGAGCATTAACTCCAAGAACACTGTCGTAGCTCTCGACGCTAGCTAATGGTAACATCTACTGATTAGTTACGTTAAACTGCTACCGGGTTGGAGACCTACTATGAAGAAATGAACAAAGTTGAGAAATTGCTGCGTTTGCAACCATCTGATACTCGGGTTAGTTTTGTGCAGAAAATTTACAGTTGGGGATTGTACAATATCCACGCTTCCCAGCTCCTGGACTGTTTTCTCGACAATGGCAATGACATCTGCCTCAGATGATATGTCCCCTGGAACTGCAATTGCACAACGACCTTTCTTGCGTAGTTCATCGACGACTGCATCGATCTGATCTTGCTTTGAAACAAGGTCATTCACCGCGACGTCGATACCGTCGTCAGCAAGCCTGTGTGCTATAGCATATCCAATACCTTGTGCACTCCCAGTGACGATTGCAACACGTGGTGTATAGCTAGTGAATGGAGTCACAGGTGTCGCCTGGTCGTCTCGAGTGAATAGAGAGCCCATTACAAGATGGTGGTAGAGGGATAAGCGAATGGCAGGGAATCGAAGTCCAAAATACAAATTGATGCTTCGGAGCCAGTTGGCTAAAGGGGCGAGCGAGCCGGAAATTATGAGCTTTAGATAACGGGATGATACTATACTGTATGAAGGAGTCAAGACCCGCTATCATACTGCTTTGATCCCGACGGCGCCGAAAGGATGGGAAGCAGGGGTAACATTGTAGAGTGAGCGCTGATTCAGAGAGGCAGTTTTTTTACTCTGCTAAGGAAAAGATAGAGCTATTTTGGGCGAGTATTTTTAGTATTTATCGTCGTCCCGTCGCAACCATACATTAAAGCTAAATTAGAGTAGATTCGCGTACGATGAGGTACACGATTTGATCAGACGTACCAGTGTCGTAACTTCGGAGGAATGAGCCGGAAGAGCAACACGTGTGTCGGTCGGATGTGACTTCCATCGAGGGTGAACCTGCTTGTGATTATAACGCGATGTCCTGCCTTTTCGAGTATCCACACTCTGACTATACTTCTACTCTATCCCGTAGCTTCAAAAGCGCGTCTATGCAAGCTCATTATGCATCCCAAAATCCAACGCGACTCTTCGAACTTGAACGCCCCGTACTATGCCTCCGATACGTGAGCCTTCTTATGGCGAAATGACCTTTGTCCATCACATAGGTAGGTGTCCCTTGTCGTATTTGCCTTTGCAATAGTACTCAAGCAACACGCAGGTACAATGGATCCTCGTAGCCATGGAGATCACTCTAGCTTTTCGGAGTATTTACACCAATCGCTGAGCATTGCTTCTGAGCGATCCACGATCCCACCGACCTCAAAGAGACGTCGTTCACCCAACGCGTTTATCCTCTTTCGGTCTCACCTCATCGCAACCGGGAAGGTTCCTCCAGATATAGTTCACCAGAATGACGTATCGCGCTACGCTGCGGAAGTATGGAAGTTGAAGTTGACTCCATCTGAGCGTGCGGTATTCTTCAAGAAGGCGCAAGAGGAGAAGGTCCGGTTTGACATCGAGGGGCCCAAGACGCCTGCAAAGAAGAGGAGAAGCAGGGCGAAAAAGACATGCCAACCGAGCCCATCAATGTCGACCGCACATCCTCGCCGTCCACCTAGTCCTACTTCCCCCTTGGACACTCCGTTCGATTCAACGGACACGTTCTCCTCACCCTCGAATATTTCGCATCTGTCACCGCAGAGCTGTTCTTCACTGATCATTTACCCTATTCCACCAGTAAGTCGTACCTTTTGGCTGTGATGTGCCGGTTCACTTAAGTCATCAGTAGGTCGGTGATGCATCACTCCCGTTCTCTGCACCACAGGCAACGCATACTATTCCTCCCAGCTTATTCAACTGGGATTTCCCGGTAGACAATACTTCCATGTGCGTGGACGAACAATGGTCGCCTATGTCCTTCAACATTGAATCAACTGCAGCCGCCTCCAGTGCTGCTTACTACTTCGATAGTAATATGCCTCTCACGGATCTGGATTTCAATGCCCTACATCTGGACTTTAGTTTTACTATATCGGACCTGGATTTATCATTTCTCGAATCTGCGCCTTCATATCTTCTTCCCTCGTCATTCGTGAATCACTTCTAAAACCTCGCTCTTGACTTCCCCTGTCTGAATCGCTGGAGCTTCCCATTTCATGTGCTTATCACTGTTCCCTTCTTGATAATTAGTATATTGTCTTCCAAACCTCCGAACACTTTGGAGAATACCCCTCCATTTGAAAACTTTTCAATCTGTTGCCTGTTTGATCCTATTCCAATCAACTACACTTCATGCTCGTTTTATTCGGTTTCGATGGTATAATTCTGGATTATGAAATCTGCACACGTGGACTGCCATTGTCGTTTCCGATGTACACAATATGAACTAGTATTGATCTTTTCGAAGGCGGACTGTTATAAAATGTGCATGGTGGTGTTCTACTAGCCATGCCACAACATTGACAAAATCGAAATTTTCGACTCGAAAAATGCTCTCTTACTTGCATATGGTCGCGAAATGTCACGGCCATGTGATTGAAAGTCACAAGCTTTTTGAATTTCCGTGCGAGCTGGTCAAGCGCCGTCCAGTTTAACATATTTTCTGTATTTCACCCAGAAACGCTCACTTTAAGGGTATTTGCAGTCTATAATTACTAAAACTCATTATTATTTCACAAAAAAAAATACTATTAGAAAGGTCTTCATATTAGCTACAAAACATATGTTTTAATTTTTTGCAAAATTAAAAAATAAATATTTTATTGAATTTACGCGTGAAGGACTCAAAACTGAGCGTTCGACGTGATTCACCAGGGATCCACTCTCCCACGAACCACCACCACGAAAATTATTCAAAAAATACCAATAAATTGCTACTACATCTACATCATTAATAAAAGACCAAAAATTACTCAATATACTTCTATAATGCTACTAGTGTAGCATACTATCAAATATATAAAAGAAAAAACAAAATGAGCTACTCAAAATGAAGGTGTTGCAATTGCTTACAACCCCTATTCTTACTCGTCAATCTTCTTTTACTTTTCTGCCTCCTCTCTTTACTAAGGTCACAACTAACTCTATTAGTGATTCTCATTTATAATCTCTCTATACTGTTCATGATGGATTTCTACTGTGAAAATAGCATCTTCTCCCGTGTACCCATGTTCCCTTACCTCTCAAGAGCTCATATACTTTTTGTCTCATTTCTGGTACACAGTTGGAGAAGCATTGAGTGTCTATTGCATTAGTAGTTCCCTGAACATTGCTGGACAGGGTGGTTTCTTTATTATAGATAAATTACCCTGTATTTGTACAATAGACCAGCAGCCCTGGTGTTTCTTTTTAGGGACCTATACCAGGAAA